GTCATGAAAGATCAGAATTAGTTGGAAATAACAAAAGTAGTCATTTTATTGACATAACTGTATAGTTAAGTAAAAGAAACATTGGCTACTGACAGCTAAATATAAGAAAAATAATTTTAGTAAACAATACTAATAGGTTTTACTTATTTAACCTGCAAAAGGTAATGTTCAGGGCTCAAGATTAATTTTAGAATGAAGCCAAAGATATCTAAACAAATGTTTAAATGTTGGTTAAAGGGCTAAGGGAGTAAAATTTTAGGAACATATTTATATTTGATAACTAAGTGGATTACTCAAAAGTTTTCCCATTAGATATATAATCACTGCATTTCTGACTTTAATTTTCATTTAGCTTTGTGTCCAGAGTATCTATAATTTATAAATCAGAATTATTAATTGTGCTTTAAAGTAAACTTTAAGAAGAATAAATATGTAAAGTCTTCCTGAATGAGTATAACTTCAGAAGTAATTTGAAATGGGTATTTTGTTGTGGCCTAAGGAAAAGTAAAATAATGGAACCATCAATTCAAGGGTAGCTCTTCCTGAATTAGTAATATCTTAATCCAAAACATGGCCTTCTTCCTGTCCCCAGAATATGCACGTTGTTGTGACACACATTTTTTTGTAAGTAGACACTAATTTATACCTTGTCTACCTCCCTCATGTATTATATAAGCCTGGTTTACCTGGCCTCCCAAGCATGACTGTTGCTAGAATTTAAAACCTAAAAAATGTTGCCCTGGCCGGTTTGGCTCAGCGGTTAGAGCATTGGCCCGCGGACCAGAGAGTCCCGGGTTCAGTTCCCGCTAAGGGCATGTACCCCGGTTGCAGTTTGTCCCAGCCCTGGTTGGGGTTGTGTGGGTGGCAACCACTCGATGTGTCTCACATCGATGTTTCTCTCTCTTCCCTGTCTCCCTCCTGCTCTACCTCAAGAAAAATGCAAAAATGTCCTCGAGTGAGGATCAAAAACAAAACCTAAAAAATGTTATTCCTATTAGGAAAACTAACATACTCTATTTAAACATTATTTGGTTCCATAAATTAATTTTTTTTTAGCATCTACTCTGAATTTTCCTCTCAAGGTAGTACCTACATTATACTACTACTTTCTCTTTCTAAGGAGTAAATTGAATTTGCTTTTAAAGAGATAAATTTGTCTCGACTAAAGGATCGGAGCCTAGATAAATAGCTTTTTGTGACTGTAATTTCTAATAAGCTGTATTATCCTATGATTTTTAAAAAGACGTTTTTGATCCCTGGCTGTTTTGATTTAGCGGTTAGAGCAGTGGTTCCTGGACCAAAGAGTCATGGGTTTGATTCTGGTCAAGGGCACGTACCTCAGCTGCAATTGGACTTCCGGCCCTGGTTGGGGTCATTCAGGAGGCAACCAATTGGTGTGTCTCTCACATCACTATTTCTCTCCCTTTCTTTCTCCATCCCTCTCTCCCACTTTATCTGAAAATCAGTGGAAAAATGTCTTTGGGTGAGGATTAAAAAGAAGAAAAAAAAAGATATTTTGAAGTTAGTAGACTGTTACCTACTACCTGGAACAGTAGAGTAGGTTAGGTTTATGACCAAGTGGGCAGGAAGTTAGCTGGGACTACATCTACCCAAAGTGATCCTTTGAACATTCCCTATTGCAAAGATGTAGCCTCACAATGAAGATACGAATTTGGCCTTTTTATATATGCTTACTTCAGTGCAACTTCTGTGTACTTGCAAAATCACATCTGCTATTGGACTTGGTTGATGCAACTTTACTACCCCAATTTAGATAAAATGATTGATTTGCATAAAGAGTAATGTTTTAGCCCTGGCCAGTTTGGCTCAGCAGTTAGAGCGTCAGCCTGCGGTCCGCAGAGACCCGGGTTCGGTTCCCGCTAAGGGCACGTACTTCGGTTGCAGTTTGTCCCCGGCCCTGGTTGGTCGTGCGGGTGGCAGCCACTCGATGTGTCCCTTCACATCGATGTTTCTCTCTCTCTCTCCCTTCCTCTCTCTCCCTCCCGCTCTATCTGTACAAAAAATGGAAAAATGTCCTCGGGTGAGGATAAAAAAAAAAAAAAAAAAAAGAGTAATGTTTTAGGTAGTAACCCAATCTTTCTAACAAAAACTGTTTTATTTAAGACTTTTTTAAAAGAAGTTTTAGGTTCACAGCAAAATTAAGAGGGAAGTACAGAGATTTCCCATATACCATCTGTTACCAGACATGCATAGCTTCCTCCCTTATCCAGATCACTCAGTCTAGTGGTACATTTGTAATAATTGACGAATGTACATTGACACATCATTATCACCCAAAGTCCTTTAGGGTTCACTCTTGTTGTAATTCTGTGGGTTTGGACTAATGTATAATGACGGGTATCCACCTTTATAGTATTTTACAGAATAGTTTTACTGCCCTAAAAGTTCTCTGTACTCTGCTAATTTATTTCTCTGTCCCCAGCCCCTAGCAACTACAGATCTTTTTTTACTGTCGTCAATTTTCCAGAATTCCATATATTTAGAATCATACACTATGTAACCTTTTTAGATGGGCTTGTTTCATTTAGTGGTATGTATTTCAGTTTCTTCCATATCTTTTCACGGCTTAATAGCTTATTTTTTTAGCACTGAATAATACATCACCTGGATGTACCACAGTTTATTTATCCACTCACCTACTAAAGGATATCTCGTTTGCTTTTAAGTTTTGACAATTAATCATAAAGCTACTATAAATATCTAATTACACAGGTTATTTCACCCCAAACTATTTTATTTGCACATTTTTCTTAGGAAGAGCATGTCATCTGTGAATAAAGAGGGCTTTATTTCTTGCTAGATTTGTGGTTTGGTGTCTGACATTGGCTTGGGAAAATTCTCAGTTATTGTTACTTCATGTATGTTTCCTTCCTTCCTTCCTTCCTTCCTTCCTCCTTCCTTCCTTCCTTCCTTCCTTCCTTCCTTCCTTCCTTCCTTCCTTCCTTCCTTCCTTCCTTCCTTCCTTTATTCCATTATTCCCGTTATGCATGTATTATATCTTTTGTATCAGTTCTTGGATGTTCTGTTGTATTTTTCAGTCTTTTTTCTCTTTGCTTTTCAGTTTGGGAAGTTTCTGTTGTCATATCCCCATGTGCAGAGATTCTTTCCTTAGCAGTGTGCAGTCTACTAAGTCCATCAAAGGCATTCTTCATTTCAGTTAGAGTATTTTTTTTTTTTTATCTCTCTAGCATTTCTCATTGGTTCTTTCTTAGGATTTCCATCTCTTTTACTTACATTACACATCTGTTCTTGCATGTTGCCAGTTTTTTTCATTAGAGCCCTTAGTATATTAATCAAAGTTGTTTTAAATTTCTGGTCTCATCATTCCAGCATCCCTGCCATTTCTGCCATTCTGCGCTTGCTCTGACTCTTCAAACTGATTTTGCATTTTAGTATGCCTTGTAATTTTTTGTTGAATGGTGGACATGATGTACCAAGTAAAAGAAACTGGTAAACAGGCCTTTAGTAAATATAGTGGTAAGGTATGGGACAAGTGGTAGCCTTCTTTAGTCCTGTGATTAGGTCTCTGTCTTGGTTAGCCTATGTCCTGGGACTGTGAACTTCAGCAGTGCTTATCAGTCCCTCCCCTCAGTGGGGCAGGCAAGCTAGAGGGGTCTGGCTTGGGTATTGCTCTTCCCCCATATGGAAAGCTGAAGGCTGTTAGAGTTGGGTATTTCCCTTCTACTAGGTTAAACTCTGATAAAACTCTAGCAGGTTAGGCTCTGGTAAAATACTTTCTCTTAAGGGCAGACCTTGTTAAGCAGAACAGAATGATCTGGCATATTTCAAAATGCTCACTTTTTCTCCCAGCTGTTGGAAGTATGAAGGGATTTTTCTCCAGTCTTTACTGTGAGAACCTGGTAGAACTCCTGGAGGTAAACTCACAGAAGTGTGAGGGCCCCCTATGACTGGATCTCCCTAGAGTTTTTAACTCTTAGACTTGTCCATACACTGAGCTTCAAGCAATTCATCAATTACAGTTCAGGTTTTCCTACTCAGTACTGGTTTCACGTGGTTCTGCTCATGGGTTTCCTCTCTACTATGTTGTGATTCTTTGTATCAGCCCCCGCCTCTTGTCTCTAATTTTGGGGGCAGCAGTTTATACTGTCACCTCACTTTGATGACTCTAAGAAGAAACATTGACTTATCAGTTTGTTCAGCTTTTCGCTCATTGTAAGGTGGAGTGACAACTTCTAAGCTCCTTACATGCTAGACCGAGAACTAGAAGTTAGATTTGCTTGCTTGCTTGCTTGCTTGCTTGCTTGCTTGCTTGCTTGTTTGTTTGTTTGTTTGTTTATTTATTTATTTATTTATTTATTTATTTATTTATTTATTTATTTATATTGATCTTTAGAGAGAGAGGAAGGGAGAAGGAGAGAGAGATAGAAACACTGAAACATTGATGAGAGAGAACATTGACTGGCTGCCTCCTGCATGCCCCCCACTAGGGATCAGGCCCACAACCTGGGCATGTGCCCTGACTGGAAATCGAACTGGCGACCTTTTGGTGCATGGGTTGACACTCAACCACTGAGCCTCACCAGCCGGGCTAGATTTGCTTTTTTAAACCAATAGTTTCTCTTAAGTAAATACTGTCCTGGCATTGCTGAAAAACCAGAGCCAAGAATGTTTGTACTTTTAGACTGTGGACTAATATGGCTTGATGGCATTACCTTATAGACTCAACTCAAAGCAATGCCAAACTTTTCAATATCCAGATGATTATATAGTAAATAAAGATGGTAAATGTCCTAGCAGCTAGTTTGTCTAACTTTGAAAACAAAGGTGCTGGTGGATGATTGGCTGATGTACAAAATACCACATAAAATATAAAAGACACAAGACAGTTCCTTAGAAATTTGATAATGGTGAAGGTAAGTAGTTCTTTAGTACAATAACTCTTTGGTAAATGGATATATGTTATCCCAAAGATAAATTTGTTTGTTAAAAAGAATGAAAGTGTTTTTTTTCAATTATAGGGTAATGTTAAGCGTAAAGACCATATTGACCATCAGAAGGATAAAGTTGCCTTAACTCTGGCTCGTCTAGCCCGCCATGTTGAAGTGGAGAAACAGCAGAAAGAAGAGAAGAACAGAGCATTCAGGGTATGTGGCTATTTTAATTGGTGTTTTACCAAATTATAGAATCATTTATAATAAAGTTGTAAAGAGAAATTTGTAATAAAAATTGGACTCTAGAGAACACATCAATTTAGTAGTAATTCATAATAGCTGTTTTCATCTCTGTTTTTAGTTTTTTGGATTCTGATCATATATATGTATATAGGAAAAAAGGGGAAAATGGAATTACTTGAGCAGACTTTATTTTGGGGAATTAAAAACTATTGGATTACTCAAAGCAAGTGAGCAATTAAAGGGTTTCTAGCCCGGCCAGTGTGACTCAGTGGTGGAACATCGACCCATGCACCAAGAGGTCACTGGTTTGATTCCTGGTCAGGACACATGCCCAAGTTGTGGGCCTGATCCCCAGTGGGGGGCATGCAGGAGGCAGCCAATCAGTGTTATCTCTCATTGATGTTTCTGTCTCTCTTTTCCTCTCCCTCCCTCTCTCTCTAAAAATTAATAAAGAACAAAAAAGGTTTCTGGTTACTTTATCACAAGAGTGGAGTTTGTTTATCAGGTTTGTAGATATAAGCTGTTGAAAGGTTAAGGTTATTTTCTACTAAATAGGGCCTGGCTACTTTCTCGGACTTCAGCCTGTCCTTTCAGATTCAATTGATTACTAAAAGGAAGAAATTTGAGTCAGAGTTATAGAAGAGCTGCTATGTAGAAAATGGAGCCTAATTTAGAATCTCGCATGATATAAATATATTCTTTGACTTACTTTAGGAAGCCCAAATGAAATTACTTAAAAACTCCCTCAATATTGACTCATGTCTATTAGGAGTAGAATGTTGATGAATTGAGTAAAATAAATAAATAAATAAAAGCTTCATAGAAGGATTTTAAAAATGGAAATTGAAATCAGGGCTCCTCCAGCAACTATTTAGATTTTAGCAGGTCACTTAGCTTTTATAGACTTTGGGCTTTAATCTGTAAAGGAACAGAGTTGGAGATGATCTCCTAGGACTATGATTTTATAATATTTTTGTTTTGTTGTTTCTTTATTGTGTTAGAGAGAGAGGAAGGGAGAGGAAGAGATAGAAACAGCGATGAGAGAGAACATCAATTGGTCACCTCCTGCATGCCCCCCACCGGGGGTCAGGCCCACAACTTGGGCATGTGACCTGACCAGGAATTAAATCGGCAACCTCTTGGGTGCATGGGTCAACGCTCAACCACTGAGCCACACTGGCTGGGCAATTTTATAATATTTTTAACATCTGTTTTTGATTCCTTCATTATTTATTCAAGGGTTATTATAAAAGAATGTATTTATTTCTGTAGCCCCTGTTTTAGTATCTCCTAGTTTGGTATAGAATACATTAATCTTTGAATTTAGAACTATGTTTGTTTAAGGACTTTATTATGTAATACCAATTAAATGAGAACATAGTATCCTAATTGTATGTTTAAAATATTTAAGGCATACAGATATTTTAAAATAGTATTATTTCTTTTCTGGCCAAAATACTGTTCAATTTTAAGGAAGATTCTTCCCCAAAACTATGTTAAGTGTGTTGTTTATGGGTCATGGGGAAATTCTCTCTGAGAGAGGAGTGGTTAGCAAGCCATCCTCCCTTTCTGCAGATTTCCTGAGTGGTGCTAGCTTCTGTTCCCAGGCACATAAATAATAAAACTTGCATGATGACTTTAGAATCTTATAGTCATGCCCTGGCCGGTTTGGCTCAGCGGTTAGAGCGTCGGCCTGCGGTCTGGAGAGACCCGGGTTCGGTTCCCGCTAAGGGCACGTACCTCGGCTGCAGTTTGTCCCTGGCCCTGGTTGGTCGTGCGGGTGGCAGCCACTCAATGTGTTCCTTTCACATCGATGTTTCTCTCTCTCTCTGTTCCTCTCTCTCCCTCCCACTCTACCTGAACAAAAAATGGAAAAATGTCCTCGGGTGAGGATAAAAAAAAAGAATCTTATAGTCATGATGACAAATGAGGGGTTTTCTCCAGGGTAGTTTTAGCCTCCATCTATGTAGATATTCATTTGTTGTATTAAAGGCTTTTTACCTTAGCAGTGAAGAAAGTTTGTTTGAAATTCTTGTTTAACTAATTGTAAAGAATAAATTATCTTTATTAAAGAATAAATTAACTCACACAGATGCTTTAGTTCATTGTTGCTATTCATTCATGATGGTTTTTTTTGGGGGGGGGGGTTTCTATATTTGGTTCCCTTTATGGATAAATCGATTTTTAAAATTAGATGACAGAAAACAAAAACTATTCAGAAAGGAAGATAATGAAACTTAAATAAAAATAATTCTTGAAGAATTCTAGTGGGTGATAGATAACTCAATGACTAAAAATAGATAATAGTTGAAAACGTTTTTCAACTATTCTAGGCCTTTGTGAATGGTTGGTGTCTCGCTGTTCAAGTAGATTGTCTATCTTATAATGGAGTGGTGTTAAAAAAAAATTCATTAAAATCTTTGCTGGATAAATCACTTTCTGAGATATAATGTGCTGTGCTGACTAGTTAACCAGCTACCAGCTTTGCATATAGATATTTCAGAAGTTAAGATGACTTGGCAAGAAGTGATGTAACCCTAAAATTTGTAGAACTAGCTTTGTGATACAGAAAAAAGGTGGCTCATTTGGAGAAGATTTCAGCCAGCAAATGTTTTTTGAGCATTGACTATGTTTGGCCACAGAGTTAAAATTCTATTCTGAGAAATGCCAGAGAACATGTTTTTGAAAACTTATTGTTTTAAAATTATTCACAATTGCTTAAAATAAGTAGCCTACTAGCCGGCACGTAGTAATATTTAATCTCAATATGTTAATTTAATTTAAGAATTTTTATTGTGATAGATTTTTGTAAGAAACATTGATAAATCATGGTTTAATTTTGTAAATAAGAAAAAAATCTTTATAGTCTACTGGAAGCTTGTGTTATTGCTTTCTTTGGATAGACTAACTTTGTTTCCCATAGCATGTTATTCAGAACACTGATCCTGTAGGACATACTTTGAAAAAAAAAGTAATCGGTGGTTTTTTAAGTTGGGATACTGCATACTCTCTGGATGGAATATCACAGGCACATTATAGTACTTCACGACTTTGGAAGTCCTGCACTAAATGAACCTTTTAAACTTGGTATTAAATCCAGTGTTTCTATATTTACTTAAGTTGATAACGAGAATTATTAATGTATATAATGTGTATTAACATCTTTGAGAATTCGTCTTTTATGGCTGTACTTTGAACAATGTTGTAAGAAGAATTTTTTCAGATGAAAAATTTGAATCTCCCTGTCCTTCTATTTACTCTTTCTGAGAGAAGATCCTGTTAATGCAAACTAGGCCATTCATTATTCTGACCTATATCTTGCAAATCTAATGTTTATGAATTTGTCATTTCTTTTTAATAACATAAGCTTTTTAAGGCACGCTGTTGTTTAAGTGCATGGATCCTAGAATCAGATTGTGAGAGTTTAAATCCTAGAATTGTTATTTATCCTTGGGCAATTTATTTGACCTTTCTGTACTTCATTTTCCCATTATAAAATGGGAACAACAATAGTACCTATTGCATCAAGTTTTTGTGAGAATTTAATCTGAAATACTTTTACAATAGTTCCTGTCACCTGGTAAGTGGTTAATAAATGTTCATTGTTAGATACAGCATGATTAGAGAATATGCAAATAGATTTATAGATAATATAACTTGAAAGATTTAGAGTCTTTAACAGTCTAAAGCATCTAATTTAATGGTTGGCACTGGCTTGCCGTCTGTTATTGTAAATACATTTTTATTGGAACATAGCCATGCCCATTTGTTTACATATTATCTATGGCTGCTCTCATGCTGCAGTGGCAGAGTTGAGTAGTTACCGTAGAGACTGTATGGGTTACAAAGCCTGAAATATTTGCTGTGTGGCCTTTTATGTGAGAAAGTTTGCCAACCTTTGATCTAGATGGCAAGAAATGCTTTATATTGGCACATATTAGGTACTAATAAGTGTCTGCTCAAAGTAAATTTGTTCTCTGAACAAATATATAATAGTCTTCTGTGTACTTCAGACTCTACAGGGTGGGGCAAAAGTAGGTTTACAGTTCATATGGAAAATAATACAATAATTAATAAAAATACAAGAATAAACTGTTTCATGTACTTAAAAGTAAACCCACTTTTGCCCCACCCTGTATAAGGAAAATGGGGGAGTATAAAAGTTTAAAAATGAAACTAATCATTCACGTATCTCCATTCCCAGATATAACCATTGAATGTAATATCTTTTCAGCTTCTCCATCTTCTGCAGATATAGTTTGTGTTTGGCTTATTTATTTAATACCACTTGGTGGTCTGCTTAATATCAAAAGTCTGAAAAAGTTTGATTAGTATTTCTAATGACTTTAATGAAATGTATTTACCATAATTTCCTTAAACAGTGCCCTCTTGTTGGAGATGTAAGTTGTAGTGAACTTTGTGCAGATATATAGATAACACTGGATCAATGCCTTGGAACATGAACCTTTGTTTTGACTTGTCTCTTTGGGACCTAGATGTGGAGTTCCAAGGATAAAGGGTAATCAGTACTTTCTGATCACTGATGTGTCAAAATCTTTTTCCCAAGAAAACCAGTTTAGTAATCATAGTTAATTGATTTTTTTCTTAATATCTTCAGGAAAAAGTTGATTTTCATCATGCTCATGGGTTACAAGAATTGGAATTTATTCGAGGACATTCTGATACAGAAGCAGCAAGACTGTGTGTGGACCAGTGGCTAAAAATGCCAGGTATTCTTTAGGGATTAGAGTGGAATACTAAGGTTACCTAGTTTCTCTAAAGCTTTAAGACATTATGTTCATTTTATTTGGTTGCTAATGAGTATGCAAAGTATTGACATTTAATTTTAGTGATTCTTAATAATGGCCTACTTTACCAATTATCTTCCTACTTTGGCAAAAATATATTTTGAGTGTAAGTAATATAGCTCATCCTTGAGTTCATTAGATATTGCTTATTTATTTATTCATTAGATATTATAACTCATTCATTTGTGATTTTATACTTATTACATGAAATAGTACATGTGTCATTTGGAGGGTGTATAACAGGTTATTTGAGGTCAGGAAATGGAATTTAAGCTGAGATCTAAGGAATTAGTATTTACTTATTTGTCAGTGCAGCCTGTGTAGATATTCTGTAAGTAGTGTCCATATGGGAGGCTTATGTAAAACACTGGGTAGCTTCTTCTAACTCTTTGCAGACCTGAGTTTCCTGGAAGTCCCACTGTAAAACATTTTTCCCTACTAGATAATTCAGTGGAATTTTTAAGAGCCAATAGGACTGCTCCACCATGGTAACTTTTCTAATCTGTCTTGAAGAGGATCCACCAGGGGTGGGGAACATCTTGTCTGCAGGCCATATAAGGCCAAAGAAATCAATACCAGCTAGTATCACACGCCTGACCAAATATAATATAGCAGGCTAAAATTTAAGTTGATCATTTTGTATGACCCCAGAATGATGTTATAAATATCCAAATGGCCCTTGGCAGAAAAAAAGTTCCCCACCCCTGCATGACTAAGCCTTTAAAGCAGTGGTTCTCAATCTTCCTAATGCCGCATCCCTTTAGTACAGTTCCACATGTTGTATGTGGACGTATCTGCATGTAAGCAGACCCGCCTGGAGACGGATAGAGGAGCGGTGTCTCGGTTCCTAAGACCATCGGAAATAATGTGTTTTCTGCTGGTCTTAGGTGACCCCTGTGAAAGGGTTGTTCGACCCCCAAAGGGGTTGCGACCCACAGGTTGAGAACCGCTGCCTTAAAGGCTTGGGATATCTACAGAAACTTTAGCTGTGGATTTAATTCAGCAGGAGGTTTAATTGTAGAAAGTCATTAGAAATATCTATGCATGCAGTGCTCAACTTTGAACCTGGATATCTTGTTCTAAAGTTAGTGTTTAGAGGGCTCTTTAAAAATACAATCATCTCTCACCACTTTGCGCTTCAACTTTTGCAGCTTCACTCTATCACAGTGTTTTCAAATACAGTATAGTACAACTGTATAAAGAAAGAATCCTACTTCACTGAAATTCATTTATCACGGTAGAGTCTGGAACTGATTAACCGCGATAAACGAGGGCCGACTCAAACTACCACTTACAAAATAATTCCAGTAATTTGTAAATATTTCAACACCTGGACACTCCCTGAAACTATATTTTCTTCTTATCACCTAATCTGTTCGTGTCTGGCAAATTCACACTTCTCCTTATCCTCCTTTTTTTTTACCCTCACCCGAGGACATTTTTCTTTCTTTTTTTTTTATCCTCACCCGAGGACATTTTTCCATTTTTTGTTCAGGTAGAGTGGGAGGGAGAGAGAGGAACAGAGAGAGAGAGAAACATCGATGTGAAAGGAACACATCAAGTGGTTGCCACCCGCACGATCCAACCAGGGCCGGGGACAAACTGCAACGGAGGTATATGCCCTCAGCGGGAATCGAACCCAGGTCTCTCTGGACCACAGACTGATGCTCTAACCCCTGAGCCAAACCGGCCAGGGCACCTTATCCTCCTTTTAAAATATCTTTTCCTCTCTCTGGCCTGTTTGGCTCAGCAGTTAGAGCCTTGGCCCATGGACTGAAACAGCAGCTCTCAACCTGTGGGTAGCGACCCCTTGGGGGGTCGAACAACCCTTTCATAGTGATCACCTAAGACACTGCTCCTCTATCTGTCTCCAGGCAGGTCTGCCCACATGCAGATGTGCCCACATACAGATATGCCCACATATGAGTACCTGGTGTGATGACATTGCGCCAACCCCATTACATACACCCTGTACAAATACAGGTGTGTGTGACAGGGTTGGTGCCATAATGTACTTTTGCGGACCAGTCACACATGTATAGAGAGAGCAGCTACTGTGTAGAAAGCAGCTACTCTGTTAAAAACAGCTGCTGTGTTGAAAGCAGCAGTATTAGAGGTAAAACAATACTTCATGAATTATAATTACTGGGTAAATGTAAAATCATGTACTATAAAATCAACTACTGCAAAAAAAAATATCTGTACCGTCGGAACTTAGTCTGGATGCTGCTGATCGGTCTTTTTATATTCAGCTGTGGTTGATGTGAATACTGCCCCCTTGTGATAGTAACAGATATGTAAAAAAACAACAACACAGAATGGTAAATAATAGGAAACTTGAATGAACTGTATCGACGAAACTATGCCATGTATCATCTTTTGTATCATTAAAGCTATTGTTATATATTATTTTCATTAGCAAACCATTCCATGACAATGGATCGTATAGAGAAGAACGTTAAGAAAAGAAAATATAGCCCTGGTCGGTTGGGCTCAGCAGTTAGAGCATCGTCCTGTGTTCCAGAGAGACCTGGTTCGGTTCCCGCTAAGGGCATGTACCTCGGTTGCAGTTTGTCCCTGGCCCTGGTTGGTTGTGTGGGAGGCAGCCACTCGATGTGTCCCTTTCATGTTGATGTTTCTCTCTCTCTCTCTCTCTCTCTTCCTCTCTGTCTCCCTCCCACTCTATCTGAAGAAAAAATGGAAAAATGTCCTTGGGTGAGGATAAAAAAAAAAAAGAAAATATAGTGAGGATTTTGTACAGTATGTTTTTACCTCAATAATTACAGCAGGAATTGAGAAACTGCAATGTGTTATTTGTTGTGAAGTTCTATCAGCCGAATCTATGAAGCCAAACGAACTAAAACACCATTTTGATAGCAAGCATCCGAGCTTTGCCGGCAAGGATACCAGCTATTTTAGAAGCAAAGCTGATGGACTCAAGAAAGCCAGACTTGACACTGGTGGCAAGTACCACAAACAAAATGTAGCAGCCATTGAAGCTTCATATTTGGTGGCACTCAGAATCACCAGAGCTATGAAACCTCACACCATTGCTGAGGATTTACTGTTACCAGCAGCCAAAGACATTGTTCGAGTTATAATCAGAGATGAATTTGTCACGAAATTGAGTTCAATTTCCTTATCTACTAACACTGTCCACAGAAGAATAGATGACATGTCTGCTGATATTCTTGATCAGGTAATCCAGGAAATTAAATCTATTCCATTTTCAATATTTAGCATCCAGCTTGATAAATCTACAGATGTTGCAAACTGTTCACAGTTACTGGTTTACGTGAGGTATATTAATGATGGTGACTTCAAAGATGAGTTTCTTTTTTGCAAACCTATAGAAACGACAACTGCTGCACATGATGTATTTGACACAGTTGGTTCATTTCTCAAAGAGAATAAGATCTCTTGGGAAAAGGTTTGTGGTGTTTGCACTGATGGTGCTCCAGCTATGTTACGATATTGATCTGGATTTCAATGTTTGGTACTGAATGAGTCACCAAAAGTGTTGGAACTCACTGTATGATTCATCGGCAAATATTAGCAATGAAGACTATGCCACAAGAATTACAAGAAGTAATGAAAAGTGTCATAAGTTGTCAATTTTGTAAAGGTGAGTACTTTTAACAGTCGACTGTTTACGCACCTGTGCAATGAGTTGGATGCGCAGAACAATGCTCTGCTATTTCACACTGAAGTGAGATGGTTGTCGACAGGAAAAGTTTTTTTTTATTATTTTTTTATCCTCACCTGAGGACATTTTTCCATTTTTTTGTTCAGATAGAGTGAGAAGGAGAGAGAGAGAGAGAAACACGACATGAAAGAGACACATCGAGTGGCTGCCTCCCGCACGCATGACCCATCCAGGGCCAGGGACAAACTGCAACCGAGGTACGTTTTCTTATCGGGAACCGATCCCGGGTCTCTCTGGACTGTGGGCCGACGCTCTAACCACTGAGTAAAACCGGCCAGGGCGACAGGAAAAGTTTTAAAATGTGTTTTTGAGCTTTGTGATGAACTCAAAATGTTTTTTAATCAGAAAGCAAGACCACAGTTGGAAGCACTTTTCAGCAAGTGAACTGCAGAAAATAGCTTACTTGGTTGACATCTTTGCCATCTTGAATGAGTTAAATTTATCACTGCAAGGACCAAATGCAACATGCCTTGATTTGTCTGAAAAGATCCGATCATTCCAAATGAAGCTTCAGCTTTGGCAAAACCAATCAGATGAAAATAAAATTTACATGTTGCCTACCTTATCTGCTTTCTTTGAGGAACATGACAGTGATCCAGACAAAAGGATTACGATGATAATTTCTGTGAAAGAACATTTGCACATGCTTGCAGACAAAGTTTCATTGTACTTTCCAAATCTTACCTGACACCCCATTTGCACTTGCCAGAAGCCCATTTACAGTCATAGTAGAAGATGTTCCTGAGACAGCACAAGAGGAGTTCATTGAACTTATTAATAGTGATGCAGCAAGAACTGATTTCTCTACAATGCCAGTTACAAAATTCTGGATCAAGTGTTTGCAGTTATATCCTGTTCTGTCTGAGATTGTGTTGCACCTTCTTCTTCCATTTCCAACAACATATCCTTGTGAAACAGGGTTTTCCAGCTTGTTGGTTATCAAATCTAAGTACAGAAGTAGACTTGTTGTGGAAGATGATCTTTGTTGTGCTCTTGCAAAGACTGCCCTGAGAATTTCTGATCTGGTGAGAAAGAAGCAATCTCAACCTTCACACTGACATTGGCTTTTTATGCATATTGTCGCAAAATGTAGCATTGTAGTTTTCTGTTGTTATATTAAGACTGTTACCTGTGCTACACCATGCTTCAAGACAAAATTTCATTTATTCATAATTAGAAATAAATATTTCACAATATATAATTACATATTGTTTTTATGATTAATCACTATGCTTTAATTCTGTTCAATTTGTAACAATGAAAATACATCCTGCATATCAGATATTTACATCACAATTCATAACAGTAGCAAAATTACAGTTATGAAGTAGCAACGAAAATAATTTTATGGTTGGGGGTCACCACAACGAGGAACTGTATTAAAGGGTCGCGGCATTAGGAAGGTTGAGAACCATTGGACTGAAGGGTCAAAGGCACATACCTGGGTTGCAGGTTCAATCCCTGGGGTCATGAGGGAGGCCACCAAACCATGTATCTCTTCTCACATCATGTTTCTCTCTCTCTCTCTCTCTCTCTCTCTCTTCTTCCCTCCCTCCCCCTCATTCCCTTTCACTCTATCTAAAAATCAATAGAAAAATATCCTTCAGGGGCTGGGCGGCGGGGGGGCGGGGGGCAATATAAAAAAAATAATAAAAAAAAATATCCTTCAGTGAGGATTAATTAAATAAAATACCTTTTTCTCTGTAGTTGCCTGTAGGGTTAGCCCCACAGAGATAATACTCAACACTAGAGGTTGCTAGGTTTATTTAATCTACATAAGTTTGGTTGCTCAGCCTTCTTTGATCCCACAGTGATTTATTCATTTCTAATATAATGTTTACTCTGTTATGTTTGATTGATATATTTACATGTCTGATATATCTGTCTCTTCTACCACACTATGTGCTCTGTGGGGGTGGAGACCAATAATTATTAGTCCTGTTTTGTGTCAGTGCCTAAAAAGAGTGCTCAGTACAGAGATGCTCAATAATACAGTGGTCGAATATTATACCAATGGAGGCTGTATAAATGTTTGCACGTAAACACAGAAAACAAGCCTAGAACTTGTGTTCCAAATGTGACTTCATTCAGCTATGTAAAAGAATTGTTTGGCATTCTAGACCTACTTTAGCAAAAGAGACTTAGAAATTATGGTAAATGGTTTTGCACCTTGGAGTGTTGTTTTAAGGCTATGGTTATTTTAAAAAATCCTTTTTGATATACATTCAGTTCTCAATAGTTGTTAATGACTAGCTCTGTGGTTTCACCTTGGCTGTATCAGAATCACCTGGGAGCTTTTAAATGCGTGCTTGGGCCTCACCTCCAGAAATAATTAGAGCATCTGTAGTTTTGAGAAGATTCCTGTGTCATTTTGATAGGAAAATGGACTGGAACTACAAGGCTTTATCACTTCTTAAGATCTCTTCTAAAAATCATTTATTTTATATGAATCTAACACTTTTAAATCCTGTCTAGAATTGTTTGGGGCCAGTAATATGCCCCTTTAGGCCTAATCCCTGGCCTCCAGATTGTCAGACTATTTTAATTCATTGTAAATTGAATTCATGAGCATCTATTTGTACATTTACCTGGGCAGGCCAAGTTAAAACAAATGAGTCAGTTAGCTGTGTCTTTATGGTTCTTGGCAAGACTTGGTATTTTATGTATCTTTAGATCATCCCTGGTTCAGCAGTAGCTGATATGCTTGAGCCTGGAGTTTAGGTCTTTAGTTATGTTCTTTTTATGTGATTGTTTCATCTTTTTGCTTGGTCCCTGCTACACTGTAAAACTGAAGTTTGGGATCGATTGCTGGAACAGTTGCTTTAGCATTGGCTATGTTTGGTACGGTCATTTATCTTTCATAAACGGGAGTGGTGAGATCTTTGAAGAGTGTATAGCTAGGGAAAGCAGATGATCATTGTACTCTTTAATTTTAAAAAGTGAGATTCTGTCCGGCCAGTGTGGCTCAGTGGTTGAGCATCAACCCATGCATAAAGAGGTCACTGGTTCGATTCCTGGCCAGGACATATGCCTAGATTGTAGGCCTGAACCCCGGTGGGGGGCATGTGGGAGGTGGCCAGTCGATGTTCTCGCTCATCAGTGTTTCTGTCTCTCCCTTTCACTTCCTCTCTCTCCAAAAACCAATAAAGGGAAAAAAATAAAAAATAATAAAAAGTGAGATTCTACTTCTCAGTAGCATTAAGGGACTCATTGAATCTATTCCAAAGTGTCTGCGGTTATAATTCAGTGTTTTTATTAGAAGTAGTTTAACTACTTTTTTTATAATTACTCGAAATTTTAGAAGCCTATCTTTTATAGACCTTTACAGTTAGGCCAGTTTGCATACATTTGAATACTTAATAACTTAAAAACTGTGCTCTGTACACTTTTTAAGAAAAAGAGCTGTTTAAATCTCTCTGTACTTTGCCTTTCCATGGGTAAAGCTTATTTTCTTTCAACTGATTGTTTTCTATTTGGCTAAATAAAAGTCTTAATGTGCAACATCTGGAATGTGGATGGACAATAAATAAAAATTGTCCTAATTCTGACTGCATTAAAAAATTAAGGATAACCCTGGCCGGTTTGGCTTAGTGGTTAGTGCGTTGGCCCAAGGACCAAAGAGTCGCGGGTTCAGTTCCCGTCAAGGGCACCGTACTTTGGTTGTGGTTCGGTCTCCGGCCCTGGTTGAAATCATGAGGGAGGCAACCAATCAGTGTGTATCTCTAACATTGATGTTTCTCTCTCTTTCTCCTTCCCTCTCCCCACCCCCACTCTATCTGAATATAAATGGAAAAATATCCTTGGGTGAGGCTTTAAAAATTAAAAAATTAAAGATAAAAAGGTGTATTATCATTTAATGCCTCTTTAAGGTTAAAATATAATTAATGTTGTGATGTTCATTATTGATTGAACACATTTATAAGCATTTTGGCAGCTTTTACTAGTGGCATTCCCCCCAGAAGGACTAAAACAGCAGAAAGCAGTTGAAACCTTAAACATATATAACCATTTTGGGATCTTAAAACTAAATGATGTTAAAGGAATAACATTCTCTAGTTAAATGCCTAGCAGCTTTGTAGAAACTGTCATACAGATAAATACACCCTCTCCCCCTCCCCGCCCCGTCCCTTTGTCCCTTGCACCTCACCCTCCGGCTGGTGTAGCTCAGTTGGTTGGAGCATCGTCTCTCACACAAAAGGTGGCGGGTTTGATTCCTGGTCAGGGCACATACCCAGGTTGTGGATTCGATCACCAATCGTGATATGTGCAGAAGCAGCTGATCGATGTTTCTCTCTCACATCTTTCTCTTTCTCTCCCTCTCCCTACTTCCTCTCTCTGAAATCAATAAAAAAAGAAATAGTATTAAAAAAAAGATACATACCCAGTTTTTGATGAAATATTCAAGACATTTAATTGAAAAAGCCACAAGAAATAATAATAAAAGAGACAAAAATCCAACTATCTTTATATTAGAATCCTCCTGGCAGTTTTTAGAATTCTTTATTTATACAACATAATTGTAAATTTTCCATTGTATATCATGTATTGGGAGTTCCATGAGAACAAAATTTGACCAGGGGTATTGGTCTACAAGAGTTATGTGACTGTAAGACCAAGATGATAAAGAAAGAAACGGGAAGAAGAATGGACCAGAATAAGAGGGAATTAAGAAAGGTGATGATGGGCAAACTATTTTCTAACTGGCTTTAAAAGGAGAAAAGGGAAAGAGACAAAGTAGGATAAATAGAAAGAAGAGAGATAAAAGTAAATCTCTGCTTTGTGTTCTAGAAATTTGCTATTACTGACACTTGTATTACTTGATGTCCAGGTTGGAGCTGATTGATCAGTAGCTGGATTCCTCAGAAAGTATCACTCTTCTTCCCCTGCCCTCTCAGTTACATAGTTTAACACACTTTTCATAGAACCCGGGTCCTCTAGAATATAGCTACACCTTATAACGTGTTTAAGATAGTTAAAAGAGAAAATAAGAGTGAGAATAAAAGATCTTTGCAAACTTATATAAATGAAAAGATGGGAGCTAGAGCATCTGACTTTCTAAGCATTTGATCTTTTGTTGAATTTAAGGAAACAGATTGTTTTCCTCCAGAGAAGGTTACTTAGAGGTGTTAACTGTTTTCCTTGTCCCTAATAACTATTTATTTTTAGGTTATTACATCCTTTTTTTTTTTTATCCTCACCCGAGGACATTTTTCCATTTTTTGCCCAGGTAGAGTGGGAGGGAGAGAGAGGAACAGAGAGAGAGAGAGAAACATCGACGTGAAAGGAACACATCGAGTGGCTGCCACCCGCACGACCTACCAGGGCCGGGGACAAACTGCAACCGAGGTACATGCCCTTAGCGGCATCTGAACCCCAGTCTCTCTGGACCACAGGCCGACGCTCTAACCGCTGAGCCAAACTGGCCAGGGCGGTTATTACATCTTTTATAAGAAAGCTTATAAGCATTTGATTATGATACACATGGTTGACTTTTCATTGTTTTGTCATAATTTTGATTACCAGTCCAAAGGACAGATATCTAAAATAGGAAATTAAGAATTTATATTCCAATGATGCAGGACTCAAAACAGGCACAATTAATTCTGGAACAAAAAGTTCATTCCGAAGAGGAGGCCAAATGCGGGTGTCTGAGAAACCAATTTCATGTCCCATAATGCACTGTAACAAGGAATTTGATAATGGACACCTTCTCTTAGGACATTTAAAAAGGTAAGTATGCTATTGAGAATAGTGGATACTGAATGAAGATCAAGTGAGTTACAAAGTGATTTCTTAAAATGAAAGTATGATGTGCCTCTGCCATTGTGATTATAGCTTTATATTCCAAATTCAAATTGTTTTGTGCTTTTATGGTAATTATTATGTGATTACTTACAATTTTAGGTTTCCTAGAAGACTTGACGTCAGATTTTTCTAGTCGTATTTTGTCTTTAAAGGCATGTGGTTTTTAAATATGTATTTATTCCTAAAATGTCTCATAAAATTCTGAACAGACTTTTTGCATTGCTATGCAGTTGGATCAGTTTTAGGGAAATGTAACCTATAAATGCAAATTTAAAGAGACATAAAGCACTTACAGATATTTAGCCTACTTTAAAGAAAGTTAATATAGCATTACAAAATAAATGGTAAAGGCAAACCAAATGTAGCAATATCAACAAATATTTTATTTATAAAACCCATCTTATTAATTTACTGGATTTTTGAATAGTAGAGCATGAATATAAAAATTAAGAAAGGCAGTATTGAAGTCAATAAACATTCTTGTCTTCACAATCCCCTTTTAATAGTTTAAAAATTGAGAGTTTGGGGCTCTAAGCCATTATCTCTTTTTTTTTTTTAATTTTTTAAAATTGATTTTAAAGAGAGGAAGGGAGAGAGATAGACACATAGATGAGCGAGAACATCAATTGGTCGCCTCCTGCGTGCCCCCCACTGGGGTTTGGGCCCACAATCTGGCATGTGCCCTGACCAGGAATCGAACTGGTGACCTCTTGGTGCATGGGTCAACACTTAACCACTGAGCCACACCACCTGGGCTTAAAGCCATTATCTTTATCAGATTCCTCACCCTACTTATGTCTTTCCTTACTAAGAGAGGTTTCTAGAGGCAGCTTCAAGCAGTCTACAAGTAAGAGGGCAGAATACTATATCCTAACTATTTTTAAAAGTATTCGAAGCAGTTTAAAATGACAAATTTTTATATGGTCAAAGTGAACATTAGAAGGATTAAAAGCCATTTTTAGGAAATGGAGGTGTGTCAGAAATCTTGATTGAGATGATTATTCCAGTTATTCATTTTAAATTATTTGTGAGTTTTATGGTAAATAAGGCAAGAAGAAAAGATGATGGCTCTATAGATTTAAAAATGTAAGTGTACTATTTTGGCAAGACATGCCTAAATCTATTTTATTGGATCTTGAGTACTTTTATGAAATCTTAAGCTCACTGTTGGTCACTGTCTGAAGGGACTGCATGGCTAATGGGAACCACTTGATAGTTCCTGAATATGAAGAACATAATTTAATGTTTCAGTAGAAAAGTGTAAAATTCTGAATGTGTGTACATGTGTTTAGCTTAAATAAAGCTAAATAGTTCTGCCCCTATAATGTGGACTTTTCTAATGTTACCTCTCTTTTGCCAACTAGGTTTGATCATTCTCCATGTGATCCAACAATTACACTACATGGACCTCTCATCAATTCCTTTGCTTGTATAGTATGTTATAAAAATTTTGTTACTCAACAACAATATAGGGATCACCTTTTTTCTAAGGTAAGAGGATGTCCTAAGAGTAGATATCATTTTTCTGGTTGCTCTTAAGCTTGCAATCACCAATGATATACATAAGGATCTAAATTCTGATTGTCTGTGAAGAGTAAAATGATTGTGGGCAGGTAAACTTAATAGTTGAAAACCAGAAGTCCTAAAGATTATCATAGACCTTCCTTTTGTGAACTTGCTTTATGAAATTAACTTACCTTGTTCAAGATGCTCTGTAAGTTAGTTAGTCACATGATGAGAACTGGAACCTTCTTCTTTTTTTTTTTTTGAATTTTTTTTTTTATCCTCACCCGAGGACATTTTTCGATATTTTGTTCAGATAGAGTGGGACGGAGGGGGAGAGAGAGAGAAAGGGGGAGAGAGAGAGAAAGAGAGAGAGAGAGAGAGAGAGAAAGAAATATCGACGTGAAAGGGACACATCGAGTGGTCGCCACCCACACGACCCAACCAGGGCCGGGGACAAACTGCAACCGAGGTACGTGCCCTTAGCGGGAACCGAACCCGGGTCTCTCCAGACCGCAGGCCAACGCTCTAACCGCTGAGCCAAACTGGCCAGGGCTGGAACCTTCTTTTTAAGTCCACTGCTTTTCACTGCATGTTGAAATGTTGGAACCATGTAGTAAGTAACAATTATTTTATTAATGTTAGTATTAAGAAATAGATCTAGTACTTAAAAGGTTGTGTTGTATAACCCTCATTAAGTGTTATATCTCAAGGGACATAAGTTGATTTCTGGTATATGCAAATCCTTGTAATATAGAACTCTGTAATTAGTGTTTACCATATTTGCTATTAGATATAGCTCTCAGCAAATACTCTTTATTGCTTTTTTTTTTGGAGTGTGTCACAAGGACTCTAAAGGAAACTAGTATGCAATTGCCTATCTTGAATCAGCCAGAAGAGGTCGCTAGAAGATCATATACCAATGAATTCCATTTTGTAAAGATCAAATTCTTCAGAGAGTGAGATTATCCACAGTTTGCATTGTTTCTCTTGCTTCCCTCCCCTTTTCCTTTCATTTTCAATTTCTTCCATCTAGACTAGTGCTTCTCAAACTTTAATGTGCACACAGATCATTTGGGAATCAAACTTGAATGTGCACATGAATAGCTTGTTAAAATGCAGATTGTGACTCAGTAGGTCTGAGGGTGGGACCATAGGTTCAGGATTTCTTTTTTTTTTTTATCCTCACCCAAGGACATTTTTTCATTTTTTGTTCAGATAGAGTGGGAGGGAGAGAGAGAGAAACATCGACGTGAAAGGGATACATCGAGGGGTTGCCGCTTGCACGACCCAACCAGGGCCAGGGACAAACTGCAACTGAGGTACAGGATGCCCTTAGCAGGAACCGAACCCGGGTCTCTCTGGACTGCAGGCTGACGCTCTAACCGCTGAACCAAACCAGCCAGGGCAGGTTCAGGATTTCTAACAAGCTTCTAGATGATGCCAGTGCTGCTGGGTCACACTTGGAGTAGCAAGTATCTAGTGTTTTTTGACATTAAAATCGTCCAGTGGGTATATCACTAGATAGCTTTCTGCTTTTCTCCCATTTTTGTGGTGGTGGTGCTGGTGGTGGTAGACATACTCTACGTTTCAGTGGGCCTCACGGTCACTTGTGGGTCAATAGGTACTACCACTGTTGCTCATTCTGTTCCTAGGGCCTATCATCAAAGGTTATTATTCCCCTTGCTAGCCTGTTCTTCCCAGCCCTAGGAAACCAGTAAACTACTTTCTGTCCCTTTGGTTTTACCTTTTCTGGACATTTCATATAAATGGATTCATAGACTGCGTGGCCATTTTGTGACAAGATTCTTTCACTTACTATAATGTTTTTAAGGCTCGTCCATGTATCAATACTTCATGCGTTTTTATTGCCAAATAATGTTCCATTGTATGGATGTATGCCACATTTTGTTTATCGATTCATCTAGCTGATGACACAGGTTGTTTTCACTTTGGCGATTGTGAATAATGTTGCTATAAACAAGCGTGCAAGTCTTTATGTGGACATATGTATTCACTTCTCAGATGAGTTAAATTACTGAGTCATATGGCAATTATGTTTAATTTTTTTAAGAACTGCCAAATTGTTATCCATCATACTCTACCATGTTACTGTCCCACCAGCAATATACTGTATGCAGTTCCAATTTCTTCATATCCTTTTTTTTTTTTTTTATCCTCACCCGAGGACATTTTTCCATTTTTTTGTTCAGGTAGAGTGGCGGGGGGAGAGAGGAACAGAGAGAGAGAGAAACATCGATGTGAAGGGACACATCGAGTGGCTGTCACCCGCACGACCAACCAGGGCCGGGGACAAACTGCAACCGAAGTACGTGCCCTTAGCGGGAACCGAACCCGGGTCTCTCCGGACCACAGGCCGACGCTCTAACCACTGAGCCAAACTGGCCAGGGCCATATCCTTTTTTTTAACTCATCTTTATTGTTGAATGTATTACAGATGTCTCCCCGCCTTTTTTCCCCATTGACTCACTCCTCCCCAAATCCACCGCCCTCCTGCCTTTCCCACACTATTGCTGGTATCCATTGGTTATGCATATATGCATAGAAGTTCTTTGGTTTATCTCATCCCACCCTTCCTTCCCCCTTCCCTTTGAGGTTCAACAGTCTGACAACCAATTTGTACTTCTTAATTCCTTTGCCTTTTTTACCCATTCCTCTAGCCCCTGCCTATCTGGCAAGCAACAAAAAGTTCTCTGTATCTATGAGTCTATTTCTGTTCTGCTTGTTCATTTTGTTTGTAGATTCAATAGTTGATAGATATGTATTAATTGTCATTTTGTTTTTCTCCTTCGAGAAGACCCTTCAACATTTCATATAATACTGGTTTGATGGTGATGAACTTGAGCTTTTTCTTGTCTGGGAAATTTTTGATATGTCTATCGATTCTAAATGATAGCTCTGCAGGATAGAGTAATCTTGGTTGTAGGTCATTGCTTTTCATTACCTTGAATATCTCTTGCCACTCCTTTCTGGCCTGCAAAGTTTCTTTTGAGAAATCAGCTGACAGTTTTATGGGAGCTCCTTTGTAGGTAACTACCTGCTTTTCTCTTGCTACTTTTAAGATTTTCTCTTTGTCTTTAACCTTTGGCATTTTGATGATGATGTGTTTTGGTGTGGACCTCTTTAGGTTCATTCTGTTTGGGACTCTGTGTTTCCTAGACTTGTATGTCTGTTTTCTTTACCAAGTTATGGAAGTTTTCTGTCATTATTTTTTCAAATAGGTTTTCAATTTCTTGTTCTCTCTCTTCTCCTTCTGGCACCCCTATGATGTGAATATTGGCGTGCTTGAAGTTGTCCCAAGAGGCTCCTTACACTATTCTCATTTTTTTGGATTCTTTTTTTTGTTTTTGCTGTTCTGATTGTTTGTTTTTTGCTTCCTTATATTCCAAATCAATGATTTGCTTCTTGGCTTTACCTACTCTACTATTGATTCCCTGTAAATTATTTATTTTAGTTAGTGCGTCTTTCATTTCTGACTGGTCCTTTTTTATGTTGTTGATGTTCTCACCAGGTTCCTTGGAGGTCTCACTAAGTTCCTTGAATGTCTCTCTAAGTTCCTTGAGTAACCTTATAATCTATGATTTGAACTCTGCATCTGATTGATTGCTCGTGTCCATTTTGTTCAGCTCTCTTCCTGGAGTTTTAGTCTTCTCTTTTATTTGTTTCTTTGTCTCCTCATTTTGGCTGCTTCCCTGTGATTGTTTCCATGTATTAGGTAGAGTTGCTATGTCTCCTAGGCTTTGTAAGGTGGTCTGTTGTTGTAGGTGTCCTGTGGGATCCAGTGGCACAGCCTCCCTGATCACCCCTTGAGGTGGACCCCTGGTGTGGACTGCACACCCTTCTCTTATAATTGAGTCTTTCTTGATTGCTGTTTGGCATGTCAGTGGGAGGGATTTACTCAGACTGATAAGCGCAAGGACTGGCTGTGCCCACTGACCTCTGGAGGGTCAGCTGTGCATGGGCCCACCATACAGAGCAAGACATACTTCAGCAGGGCTCTTGTACCCACTGAGTCCACTCATTGAGTTTGTCATTTGTGGAGGTGGTTGGGTGGTGGTGCTCAGAAGCTGTCTGCTGGGTGTGCTGGCTCTGGGGCAAGGCCAGCCTCCACCTGTGTTCTACCTGGGGCCACCCAGCATAAGCTACAAAGTGATCTGCAGATGGCTGCTGCTTGTGCTGGGCTTGGAGGTGCCCAGGAAAAGCCAATTTGTGAACCAAGGCTGTCTGTTTCTAGTGCCAGGCTTGGGGCCACTTAACGAGGGGTATGGGGCTCATTGTGGCCAGATGCTGCTTATTTGAGAGACTTTAGGAAACTCTGAAGAAGGATCCAAGACAGGCCAATCCTATGGTAAAGCCTTTGGAAACAGCTTGGGTGAACCCAAAAGTTGGGTGGTGCAGGGCCTCAGGGAGTCACCATGGTGGGCAAACAGTATGAGCCAGGTTGCTGGAGTCCCAGATATGGCGGCTGTCTGCCACCCCGGGGAAAGGCTCACCAAAGGAACTATGGCTTCCTACAGCAAGTATGTGTGAGAGAAGGCTGCCTCTCCAGCCCTTGTCCCGAGGCCAAACAGCTCAGTTCTGTTTGTGGAGGTGGTTGGGTGGTGGTGCTTAGTATGTCTCTGGTGCCCCTCAAGCTGCCTCCCCTCTGAGCTTAGAGGGAGCAAGTCCGAGTAAGTCCATGTATGGGCCCTTTAAGAGGAGCTGCCTGGGGCTCCAGCAGCCTCAGCCTCCCTCAGCCTCAGAGCCTGCTGGGTTTTACAGCCAGAAGTTATGGAGACTTCTCTTCCTGGCACTGGAACCCTGAGCTGTGCGCCTGGGGTGGGAGGGGAACCCCTCACTCCTCAGGGAGGACCTTCACAGCTGAGGTGTCCCTCCTGATTTTTATCCACCACACATAAGTGTGGGACCAGCCTGTCTGGGCCTCCAACCTTCCTACCAGTCTCAGTGTGGTTGCTTCTTTAATTTCGTAGTTGTAGGACTTCCATTCAGCTTGATTTCAGGCAGTTCTGAATGATGGTTGTACTGTAGTTTAGTTGTAATTTTGATGTAGGAGGAGGCATAGTACTGTGTTTACCTACATCGCCATCTTGACTGGAAGTCCCCTTTTTTTTTTTTTTTTAAATTTTTTATTTATTGAGAGAAAGAGAAACATCAGTTTGTTATTTTCACTTATTTATGCATTCATTTGTTGCTTCTTAACCTGGGGATTGAACCCACAACCTTGGTGTAGCAGGATGATGTTCTAACCAACTGAGCTACCGTGCCAGGGCCTTTTATTCACATCATTGTCAATACTTTTATCTGTCTTTTAAAATAGCCATCTTAGTGGGTATGGATAAAAATCTTATTGTTCTACTTTTTTTATATATACAGATTTTTATGGTGTATTTTATTTTAATGTAACCAGAAATGTAACAGTAAAAAGAATTTGAGTACTTAAACTTACCAGACATTCTATTTCCCATTCCTTCCTCTAGTTTGCAGACAGTATTTGCAAATATGCTACACTTATGTAATAGGTATAGTCCAGTAAAATTTTATGTAGAATCACATTTGTGTTCTATTGAGCAAACCTTTTAAACAAGCATAATATGTAATACATTTATAACTTACAATTGAACTAAAAATTATTTTCTTATTTTAGAGGTCTTTATTAGAGGTCATTTGTATAAATTGGTGTTTAATCAATGCCTTTAATGCTCTTACCATTTAGAACCTTCTAATGAAATACAAAATATCTTCCTGGTGTGGTCTTTTGTGTGGCACCTGCCAAATTGAAACAGGATGGGGAATAGTGGAAAGAGCATAAAATTGGTAACCAAAGATATAAAACTGTATTTGAATGGTAGCTTTGTTTCTTCTAAGGTTGCACCTTGGTTGGGTGGACTGGTAATTTTGTTGACTTATCTAAATGTCAGTTTCTTATTTATAAATGAATAAATTAATCCTTCATGGGGTTATTACCAGGATTACATGGGAAAGCACACTTCGAATCCTAATATTTTGCTTGCTTAACATGTCGATATAAATGTAAACTTGCTATTCCTCTTCTTACAGCATCTCATAAGACTACACAAACTATTTTGATATCCCCAATGTAAACTTAAGATAGTACATTTACGGAGACACAACTTTTTTAAAAATATATGTTTTTTCTTTATTTATTTTAGAGAGAGAGGAAGGGAGAGGGAGAGAAAGAACATCGATTGATCAACTCCTCCATTTCCCCTACTGGGATCGGGCCCACAGCCTGGACATGTGCCCTGACCGGAAGTCAAACTGGCGACCTCTTTGTGCATGGGTCGACGCTCAACCACTGAGCCACACTGACTGGGCAAGGAGGCACAACTTTAAGACTATTACTCTAAAGACCATTAACAAAAAGTTGTTATATTTATACACAAGCATACATAAATACTCATACACAAATATATATTTAAAAGTATTTAAAATTTTGGGATAAAGGAGGCTCTTACCAAGTTCGGAAACTTTGACGCTAGAAAAGACAAACCTGTTTAACTATATAAAAATTTTAAATTGAGCATATGCCAAATTAATCAACAGATGTTTGAAAATATTTGCAAAATAGAGGATTGGACAAAGAGTTTCAATAATGAAGTTGACCAAAAGGAGAGAAAACAAAAACTGTGAAATATAAGGTTAAAGAATGTGAATAAACAATCTACAGAATGTGATATATCCACAGAATTGTATGAATAAATGTTCAACCTCACTAGTAGATATAAAATGCACTTAAAGTAACAAGGAGTATCATAACATCTGTCATACTGCAAAAATAATAGCTATCGCTGCCAGGCTAGGAGATATGTGAATTGGTAGAGCCATTTTGAAAAGCAAGCATACAATATTTTTTAATATTCAAATAATACATCTTTTAACCCAACAGGACTACTGATAATGAGAGAAAAGCACCTATGAATAAGGATATATATTTGAGGATGTTTTTAACATTATTGTTTATAGTTGCAAAAAATAAGGCCTCCAAATGAATACTTGACTGAATTATAGTAGATCCACAGATGGAGTAGTTGGCAATTACTAAGAAAAATGAATGAAAGCTATACCAATTGAGTTTTAGGGATTTCCATTAGGTATTGTGGAATAAGAAAACTAAGAGGCAGTAAAGTTTGTAAGTTGAAAATATTTGATAAACAATGACAGTCCTCTTTGTATGTTTATTTATATATGTAAATTATTAAGCATGGAGCTATTTATGAATCAATTCATATTTGTAAACATAGGTTATATAGCAGAGTAGAATGAACAAAGCAATACATTAGAAAAAGTATATGTGTTGTGAAAACATTTATGCACTTACATAATGCATATGGATGTGTATGTAAAAAAGGAAAAATATATAGAAAGCAAATATACTTGTATATTGATTGTCATAGAAAGATGATTATAATTTGCTTGTAAGGAAAAAAATAAAAATTTTACATATGGGACCTTACTTATGATAAAAACTCCATTGTTCACACTCAGGGAAGAAAAGTTTTTGTGTTAAACACTGATAGAGAATATTTCAGATAATAATATTTTGAAAGTTGATCTTAATTTGAATATTGGCCTTGGCCAGTTTGGCTCAGCGGTTAGAGTGTCAGCCTGTGGGTCGGAGTGACCCAGGTTCGGTTCCCACTAAGGGCATGTACCTCGGTTGCAGTTTGTCCCCGGCCCCGGTTGGGGTCGTGTGGGTGGCAACTGGTTGATGTGTCTCTCTTGCAGCGATGTTTCTCTCTCTCTTTTCCCCCCTCTCTCCCTCCCACTCTATCTGAAGATAAATGTTTTTTAAAAAATGTCCTTGGGTGAGGATAAAAAAAAAAAGAATTTGAATATTGCCCTGCAAGTGTGGCTCAGTGGATTGAGCGTCGTCCCATGGACTGAGTTACCTATTCAATTCCGGCTCAGGGCACATCCCAGGTTTTGGGCTCCATCCCCGGTAAGGGGCTTGCAGGAGGCAGCTGACCAATGTTTCTCTCTCACATCAGTGTTTCTATCCCTTTCTCTCTCTCTAAAACATCAATAAAAACATATTTTTTAAAATCAATTTGAATATTGATTGATTTCAGTTGTCTATAATTCAGCTTTGCCTTATATTTTAGGAAGCTGCAGATGATGGACATAAAAACAATCTTCTTCCTCAGATTATTCAGTGTTTTGCGTGTCCAAATTGCTTCCTTCTTTTTAGCAGCAAGGATGAGTGTTTGAAGCATATGTCTGGAAAGAATCATTTACATCAGCGTTTTAAACTGGGTGGTATGTTCATGCTCTCTTCTCTGAAAATTAAACTGCTTTAATTTTTGCTGATTTGTGCTACTTTTGAGATAATTTTTGTGATTTCTTATCCTCATGTTAGTGTGAAAAGTATGGAAGTGAAAAATTTAAACAATTTTTTTCAAAAAAGATTCTCAATATTTACCTATACCTAAGAGGTAAGGTTTACTTACTTGGAGGAATGAAGAGAAACTTGGGAAGAAAACATTTATTCAGAATAATGTTTTTATATCCATGATATCTGGGAATTTGAGCATTTTTCAACATCCTTTGCACTTATGGTCAGAAAATGACTGACTTTAGATTTATATTACCTGAATAACTATCTTCTACTTACTCCAAATAATGTTGAAGAAGGCAAAAGGGAGGGAAGGTTGGGTCACTCTACTCAAATCTTTGCAAGTCATGGCTTATTTTTTTCTTTCAGATGGCAAGGGAATAGCATGTCCAATATCATTTCCATCTTTTGCAAAGAAACTTTTGATCTCTCTGTGTAAAGACGTTCCATTTCAAGTTAAATGTGTGGCCTGCCACCAGACACTGCGTTCCCACAAGGAGCTTACTGTCCATTTCAGGTGTGTAAGGGCATCCTGTCCAATGAGCTCTTCACCGGTGGGATTCAACGAATACTGTTCTATTTCATGTTTCTCTCCTTTTAAAACAAGAATGTACATTTGCCTGAGAATTAACCAAAATAGCATAATGAGAGAAATTAGAGGTGTGGAAGAAGTGGATATATTGATAATGCTGTGTATGTGAAACAAGCTAAGAGTTCTTAGTTCTGTGTGTAATTTTTCTCTGTGTGTTCTGTGAGTATATGTATAGGGAAAGAGAAGGTCAAAATAGAACCTTGGCTTTCTGTCAGCCAGAATAGAATGTATCATATACATGTGAAAGATTAAATTTCATTGAAAGGCCAAACTTATCAAATCAAGAAGATTTCAGTATGATTTTTTTTATCTTTATATTAGAAATTATCAAGCAATATACAAAAGGAGAATGATAAATGAACCTCTGTATACCTTTCACCCAGCTTCAGTAGTTATCAACACATGATAGTGGTGTTTCATTTATATTCTCATCACCTGCAGATTATTTTGAAGCAAATCATGTCATTTTATCTGTAAATATTTTAATATGCGTTCATAAATGGTAAGGACTCTTCTTTTAAAAATTAATACTGTTATTATACCTTAAAAAATAAATAGTTTTTTGCCCTGGCCCATGCGCTTAATGGTTAAGAGCATCGGTCCACGGACCAAAGGGTCTCAGGTTTGATTCCCAGTCAGGGGCATACACCTGGGTCATAGGTTTGATTCCCCAGCCCTGGTCAGGGCAGATGAGGAGATAACCAATCAATGTGCTCTGTCACATTGATGTTTCTCTCTCTCCCTCCCTCCCTCCCTTCTACTGTATCTGAAAATCAATGAAAAAATATTCTTGGGTGAGGATTAACAAAATAAATAAATCAGATTTTTTAAAAAAGTAGTTGTGTATTTAGTTTTATAAGAAACTACTAAACATTTTACTGAAGTGTTGTACTGTGTGTATTTCTGGCAGCAAGGTAGGAGAATTTCAGTTAATCTACATCCTTGTCAATGTTTGGTGTTACCAGTCTTTTTCATTTTAGCTATTCTTTTGAGTGTTTCATTGTGGTTTTATTTTTTATTTATTTTTTGTTCAGATAGAGTGGGAGGGAGAGAGAGAGAGAGAGAAACATTGAGGTGAAAGGGACACATTGAGTGGTTGTTACCCGCACGACCCAACCAGGGCCAGGGACAAACTGCAACTGAGGTACGTGCCCTTAGCGGAAACTAAACCCAGGTCTCTCTCAACCGCAGGCTGATGCTCTAACCGCTGAGCTAAACCGGCCAGGACTTCATTGTGGTTTTAATCTGCATTTCCCTGATGAACAATGATGTTGGGCACTTTTTCATGTACTTTGGGCCATTTGTTTATCTTTGTGAGGTATCTGTTCATGTCTTCCACCTGTTTTTAAATGCCCTGGCCAGTTTGGCTCAGCGATTAGAGCATTGGCCTGCGGACCAGAGAGTCCCAGGTTTGGTTCCTGCTAAGGGCATGCACCTTGGTTGCATTTTGTCCCCAGCCCTATTTGGGGTTGTGTGGGTGGCAACCACTCGATGTGTGTCTCTCACATCAATGTTTCTCTCTCTCTCTCTCTCTCTCTCTCTCTCTCTCTCTCCCCCCCTCCCTCCCTCTCCCTTCCTCCTTCCTCCTTCCTCCCCCTCTCCCTCCTGCTCTATCTGAGGATAAATGCAAAAATGTCCTTGGGTGAGGATAATAAATAAATAAATAAAAATTAGATGGTTTGCCTTTAAATGTGAGTTGAGTTTCTTTATATATTCTAGATATAAATATTTTGTCAGATATATGTACTATAAGTGTATTCTCTCCCAGTCTGGTGCATATTCATATTGTTAACTGTGTCTTTGATGAGAAGTTTGTAATCTCATTAAGTATAATTTATTGATTTTTTTTTTTTTCTTTTATGGTTATGTTTTCTCTGTCCTGTCTGAGAAACCTTTGCTTATTCTTGCTTCGGGAATATATTTTTTGTTTACTTAAATTTTTTAAAAGTTCAGCCTTTTAAAAGCTTTTGTGTTTATTTATATAGTCTATCTCCTAACAAATTTTTACTGATCTTTAAAACAATCAGCATTTTATTTCACTGATGATTGAGTCTCTCTGCTTTTTTCCTACTTTGTTGATTTCTGTTCTTTAAAGTTTGGTTTTAATTTGCTTATCATTTTCTAGCTTCTTAAGGTAGAAGTTTAGACCTTGGACCTAAGGTAGACTTTGGACCTTCTTTTTCTATATAAGCATTAAAAGTTATAAATTTTTATCTAAGCATTGTTTTACCTTGTTCCTCAGATTTTTATGAGTTGTTTCTCTTTTCATTAAGTTTACATATTTTATCTTCACTCTTTTGATATTTTCTTTGATCCATAGATTTATTAGAAATATGTTATTTAACTTGTAAAAATTTAGGGATGTAATTTTCAAATATTTAGGGATTTTTAAATTATTTTTTGTTTCTAAAGACCATACTTTATATAACTTCTCACTTTTAAAATACATTAAATAAATGGGATAGTAGCAGGTCTGTTCTCTTTGGAGTTTAGTAGTGAAAGGAAGACAGTTGAAAAACAGTTCCATTTTTCTTTTTCCCTAGAGAAGTTGATTTGTTTTGAGTTAATTTTTGGAATAGTGTCTGGTTTTTTAATTGATACTGATTCTTTAGTATAAAAGCAACTATGGGCATGGCATATTCCTGACATAGAGTAAATCAGCTCTTAAAAACTCTAGGTACCAGGTTATTGAGAACTTACCATAGTATTCCTCCACACAGTTTAATTATCATAGATAAGTTAATTTGCTTGTCTGATAAGGTCCTCTATTAATGCATTTGATACTGTTTTTAGTTTTCAAAAGTTTGTCTGAATTTTTTTTTTTCTCTTTTGATTCTAGTTTTACCCTTTTGTACATAGGATAGAAAGAGACACAATGTAGGTAATACTCAGGTACCTTGAGATGATAGCATATTATATAGCCTGCATCTTTATTGAAAACTATCTTTTACTGCTTATATACATACATTGTTTATTTTATAATTTCTGCAATAAAAGCAAAGATACTTTATGTAGAAAATACTTATGAAAGAGCTTATTTTTCTAATTCACTTTATTTTTTAAATCTTTTTTATTGAACTTATTGGGGGTAACATTGTTTAATAAAATATATAGGTTTCAGGTATATGAATCTATAATAAAACATCTGTATATTGTATTGTGTGTTCACAGCCCCAAGTCAAGTCTCCTTCCATCACCATTTATCCCCCTTGTACCGTTCTCCAACCTTCCCCCACCCCCTTTCCCTCTGGCAATCACCAATACCATTGTCTTGTCTATGAGTTTTGTTGTTGTTGTTGTTGTTTTTGCTTAATTCCTTCACCTTTTCTTATCCACTTTAGAGTTCGTTGTCGGAATGCTGGTCCTGTAGCTGTAGCTGAGAAAAGCATTGCCCAAGTTGCAGAGAAATTCATATTAAGAGGTTATTGTCCAAATTGCAACCAAGTCTTTGTGGATGAAACCAGTATCCGAAACCATAAGCAGAATTTAGGACACAAAGTACGAATCATTAACTCAATGGAAGAATCTGTCTTACTTTATTGCTGCAGCAGTGAAGGGAACAAACCTCCTTCTGACTTAAATCTATTGCTAGATCAATCAAAATTTTCATCACTTAAAAGAACTATGTCTTTCCAAGAATCTAGCTCACAAGATTGCAGTACCATTCCAAAAAAGAAGATGAATTTAGAAGATAAAAGTCATGGAGGTATGATTTGTGTCCAGAAAGAAAAGTCAATTGTTAAAACCTGGTTTTGTGAATGCCATCAACGATTCCCAAGTGAAGATTTAGTAGAAAAGCATGTTTTCTCAGCAAATACAATGTGTTATAAGTGTGTGGTCTGTGGAAAGGTATGTGAAGATTCAGGTGTCATCCGTTTACATATGAGCCGGATTCATGGAGGGGCTCATTTAAATAACTTTCTTTTCTGGTGTCGAACATGCAAAAAGGAGTTAACCAGGAAAGAGACTATCATGGCACATGTGACTGAATTTCACAGTGGTCACAGATATTTTTATGAGACGGATGAGGTAGAAAGTGAAACTTTGCCATCATCCTCTACAACATTGGGGAGTAATTTGACTGCTGAGAATCCTTCTTCAACTATTACAATTATTGATCATTCTCCATCTAACAGTCCTCCAAGGGGTAAATGGCAATGCCGAATCTGTGAAGATATGTTTGATTCCCAAGAATGTGTAAAACAGCACTGCATGTCTTTAGCAAGTCACCGATTTCATAGATATAGCTGTGCCCATTGCAAAAAGACTTTTCACAAGATAGAAACACTATACCGACATTGCCAAGATGAGCATGACAATGACATAAAGGTTAAGTACTTCTGTGGGCTTTGTGATCTTACATTTAATGTGGAAGAAGCATTTTTGAGTCATTATAAGGAGCACCACAGCATAGATTATGTGTTTGTGTCAGAAAAAACTGAAGCTTCAATTAAAACTGAGAATGATTTTCCGGTACCGGAGACCAGTAATCTGTTAACCTGTGGTTGCCGTGAGAGTTACATCTGTAAAGTCAACAGAAAGGACGATTATAGTAGATGTCTCCAAATGATGCTGGATAAAGGTAAATTGTGGTTTCGCTGCAGTTTATGTTCAGCAACAGCACAGAATATAGCCGACATGAACACTCATGTCCATCAAGTGCACAGAGAAGAGAAGAGGGAGGAGGAGCAGCAGTATGTCATCAAGTGTGGCACCTGCACCAAAACATTTCATGATCCTGAGAGTGCTCAGCAGCACTTCCATACAAAACATTGCTTCTTACAGAAACCCAGTGTGGCTCATTTTGGATTTGAAAAAACAAGCCCATACAAGTTTGCTGCCAGTGCCTCACGTGCAGAGAGAAAACTGAAACAGACAGTAAGCTATCCAAAAAATTCAGACATGGACAAAGGAGCCGAGAATGATCTCAGCTGTCAGAATATAGGTATGGCTTTACAACTTTAATGTCTGTGCAGATGTCTATGTTAATATAGAAACTTATGTGTATTATAGCCATCATTTTTGTGAAAGCTAATTATGATTCAGTCTGAAAGCAAAAAACATAGGATGATACATTAATTTAAAGGAGCATATGCTTTGTAGGGATTTATATTCCTACTACTGTATTCAGCCAGCCATTTTCTAAACTTCAGGGGACAAAGAGTATATGTCAGCTTTAAATAATGTGTATTTTAGATAACATTTTCTTTTCTTTTACAAAAGGCATGAGAGTTTTGAGAGATGAAGGAAATTTGGTGTTTTGGAAAGTAAGATTTTAATGTTATCCTGGACATATTATTTAAATTTTGGTTCATTTAAAAGATAAATCAAGAAGAATTCTTTATCTTTCTATTTTAGCCTTATTTTATAAGTATAAGAAATCTTAAAGTCACTTTAGAATTTGTATATTTTTGTTATTTTTTTTTTGGAAACAACACTTACTTACAGTTAAAATGGGAATTAGAAGTAGAGTTACAAGTGGTAGCCACAAACCAGGGGGAGAAATGAGGTGTGGATATTCCCTTGTTTGTACTTTCTCCAGACTTTCTTTTCCCCATATTATAAGATCACATAAGTCTAGAAGAATGCAGTGTCTTTATTTTGTTTAGAAGTATAATTTGTTTAGAGTATAATTGTAAGTCTATAGCCTTTTTAAAAAAATTGGTATTAAATTTATTGGAGTGACATTGGTTAATAAAATTATATAGGTTTCAGGTGTCCAGTTCTGTAATATATCATCTGTAAATTGCATTGTGTGTTCACCACCCCAAGTCAAGTCTCCTTCCATCACCATGTATCTCCCCTTTACCCTCCCCTTCCTCCCTCACTCCCCTTTCCCTCTGATAATCACATACCGTTATCTGTGTTTATGAGTTTTTTCTTTTCTTTGATTAATCCCTTTACCATAAGTATTAACTCTTGGTAAGTTTTATCATGTAGATTGGAGACAATGAGGATATGTGAAAATTTTGGCTAAAAAGATATTTTTATTAAATATTGAATTTTTATAGGCTTGCTCTATAGCAGATCTCAGGGCATATGTTATGTAAGAAATTATTAACTGACATAATAGAGACCTATTTAACATTACCCCAAACCGTAAACCAGTGGTTCCTTGGAAGATGAGACAACCAAGAAAGATGTGTTTGTAGTGAAGGTACTCTAGTGCCACCAGTACCTATTATGCCCTTCTTTATGGTGCAGGGTTGTAGGTTATCTCATTTCTGCCGTAAAAGGTGTTTAATCACAGAGCCAGAGGACTACTAATAAATCAGACTAGATTAGGGAAAAAAATGAAATTATCTGATTTAAATGTACTGTGTAATGTACAGGTTTGGACTTTATAAAAAGGTTTAGATAGAAATAACATGCAAAATTAATTTTTTTTGTTAGTCTTCACCTGAGGATATTTTTTTTTCATTGACTTTTGTAGAGAGAGTGGGAGAGAAAAACATCAATGTGAGAGAGACACATTGATTGGTTGCCTCCCACAAAAGCCCCTACTGTGGCCAGGGATCAAACCTGCAACCCGAGTATGTGCCCTTGATTGGAAGTAGAACCCATGACCCTTCAGTGTGTGAGCCAGTGCTCTAACCACTTAGCAACACCGGCTAGGGCACAAGATTAATATTTTGCACCTTAGTTCTCTGATATCTTTTAAACTTGAGAAATTAAAATGTTTTTAGCAAATTCTTACCAAATCCATGTTAATGTTTCTCTCTTAGATGAAGTTGTTGAGCTTCCAGATTTGGATTACCTGCGAACCATGACTCATATAGTCTTTGTAGATTTTGATAACTGGTCCAACTTTTTTGGTCATCTACCAGGGCATCTTAACCAAGGAACATTTATTTGGGGCTTTCAAGGTATGGTCAATAAGGAAAACATTTGAGACAATCTCCCCTTTGTTTTCTTTTTAAAATATGGTTCACTTTAAAGGACTCTTCTTGAACCTTCCTGAATAGAACATAGGAACATAATTGGAATATTGTCATGACCCAATAATTGTCACTTTGCATTATAGTTACTCTGCTAGAATATTTTTATTTTTACATTTCTCTGTGGTAAATGTTAGCTCTATTTGGTGACCTAAAAATTGTGGATTTTTAGATACAGATTGAAAAAAACCTTTATTCAGTACCTTCAATGTGCTAGGTACTATACTTGGTGCTAATACATGCTTACTGATTTTAAAATATGAAGAAGTAGGCTGAGAAGTTTATTTTTTCCAATGTATAAAACTAATAAATGGCAGAGTTAGCTTTTGAACTTGGGCCTTGTGGCAACTATGCTACTACTCAAAAATGTGCAACTTTATCTAAATCTCTTTACAAACCATTGACCAAACCTTGGAGAAAGACTTTGATTTATAGAAGTTTAGTCAAATGAGCATCTGATATACTTCATATTTGATAGAAAGCTGCATATAAAGAGGAGGACAGGAATTTAAGATACAAACATAATGACTTGGATGAGTTAGCCAGTACAACCAACCTTTTAGTAAACCTAGTTTTGCTGATTGCCCGTCATGTCTCTCTACCGAATAACCTTGACATATTTGTAAAAAACCACTAACGCTTACATTCATATGGAATGATACCATTCAAAGAATTTTCACACATTACTTTTAATTCTTCTTAATATCCTGTGAGTTTTCTGATGAATAGGCAGATTCAGGGAAGTGTTGGTCTACGTTCCCAAGATTGTAAAGCAACAAGATGGTGATACCTACACTAGAACCGAGTTCTTCTGCATTCTAATCTGTTACTTTCTCTCTAGAAAACTTTTTTCTAGTGGTTTTCCTTGACAAAATTTTCAGTTGTATCTAGTGTTGTGTTCGTTTCTCCCATTTGACTATCATTTATGCCTTTTCTAAAAATAATAGGAGGAAACACCAATTGGAAGCCTCCACTCAACTGTAAGATCTATAATTACCTGAATAGGATCGGATGCTTCTTCCTTCATCCTCGTTGTAGCAAAAGAAAAGATGCTGCTGATTTTGCCATATGTATGCATGTGAGTCATTGTTTTTTTTTTAAAAATCTAATGTGAATCTGGGATCCATTTGGATTTTTTTCCCCCACTTTAATCATAATGAGACTATAGATCACTGTTCAGTATTATATTTTTGTGTAAAACCTTCTGCATCAGGTTCTACTTAGGACTGTGAGGGCAGGGATCCAGAGCCTAATTTTTTACTGCTTTTTCCCTAACTTCTAACAGACTCTTAGTTACCATAGCAGACTCCTCAACTATTTATGGAATAAATTATCAAGAGATAACACTGTACTTGAGGTACACTTTCACATTTTAACATCTCTGAAATTGGGAGGCACCTCAACAATTACTGTTGGCTAGATGGGATTTGCATTTGCTTCTGTCTCTGCCAGTCACATAGAGACACAACCCTGAGACCCAGTTTAAATTAAATTCTCTGTTTAAGGGTTTATGTGTCACACTTACAGCATGAATTTACTCTGCAAACTTGTTGACTAATGCTTATGTTTTAAACCACAAGAGATTTCTTTTCCATCTCTCCAGTATCAAGATTGAGTGTGCAAATTGCGTTGCTTACCTTTTCTCTATGGTTGATTTATAGCGTTTCAGCTTTATGATGGGGGCCTCCTATTGGACTCCTTTTGGCTTCTTTCTTTCTTAGTGGCACATAAAATAGCTTATCTTATAATTGATGGTATTTTATATTTGATTAAATGTGGTATTTTCATTTATGATTGATATCTTTACTTTGGTGTGAACTAGGAAACAACCTAAATATATCCTCCTAGGTGTGTGTTCATTCTGAGATAGATGTAACTTGATTTGAAATTCAAATGCTGATTTTCATCAACATATGCTATTTGTTCCAACTTAGGCTGGCCGTCTAGATGAACAACTACCCAAGCAAATTCCTTTCACCATCCTCTCAGGAGATCAAGGTTTTCTGGAGCTAGAGAATCAATTTAAGAAGACTCAGAGGCCAGCACATATACTAAACCCTCACCACTTAGAGGGTGATATGATGTGTGCTTTGTTAAATAGCATATCTGATACCACCAAAGGTATGCAGCTGCAGTCACAGTGCAAACCGCCCAAGAGGAGGAGACTTCATTGCTGAGAGAAATCAATAAACAGCTGTCCACTAGTGAACTGTTGCCTGCTCACTAAACCATCATGCTCTCGTACTTCTGTCTTACTTATTTTTTCCTTATCTCACTTTCATTCTTTAGTTTTTTAGAATAGGATGAATTCATAATTTTCTGGAACCTTTTTGATCTAGTAGAGAAAATCTATATTCATGTATATAATATATTCATAGTATGAAATTATGTTAGTACAGTTTTGCAAAGCTAAGAATCCAGATCTTCACTTTGTTTCTGAAATTCCAAATTTATTTTTACTTTTTCAGAAAGCAAAGTTCTTATAGGTGAATCCAGAAAGCAATAAATAATAGTGTGTCAATACCTCTCTCCCCTCAAGAAAAAGACCATTTAAGAGGCTGACAGTGACTAAATGAAGCCCCGAAAGATCTTTAGTTCCTTGGGAGGGGTAGGTACTTCCTGTCCTGTTCCTGGGGCTTACACTCTCTTCTCTAGCTTTTTGAAATTATTTTTAAAAAGTGGACTAATGTCCAATTTTTCTAACCAGTATTTAAGAAAGAATGTAATTCTAGTGATTCAGAGTTTTTCGGGTTTTTTTCATATTTTCTGAAATAAATGTGGCTAGAAGACAATAAAATAATGCTTTATAAATATCCTAAATATTTATAGGCATGAATAAGATTTGAAGATATTGATGTATTACCTCAATGAAAAACTGATCACTTTTTTTTTTTGGCATTTTTATTACATGCCTTTAAATTTTCCAACTTTGCTTACTTTCTAGCTTTTTTTTTTTTTTTTTTTCCAGTTTATTTGGAGCCACATTTTGATTGAAAATCCATTCTGAAGAATTTTGCTGTGTCACTTATTACTGTGAATTAATTCACTTCCACCAACTTAGAAGTCATTAATTAAGACCAACTCTGCTCTTTAAAGGAAAATCAACTCTGTTTTGCATATTTATATCATGCCTTAGTATTAACTTTTGTCTTCCTTTTCTATAAATTTTTGTTTTTATCCTCTTATTTTTTATCTTTGGCTTTTTGTTTCTTTGTGGTTTTTTTTTTTTGTTTTGTTAATGTCTTCTTCTACTCTTTGCCATCCTCTTTCCCTTAACAACATTTATTTAATATTCTATAAAATACTTAAAGTTTTGCCTTTGCCACCATAGGCCAAAACCCTTTTTCTTCTCTTTTGCTGTTGCTTTTGGAAGTGTTTCTTTTGCAATTTAGAATGTGAAACCTGTCACAGATTTTCCTTTATTTCAACTTTATTTGGAATGAAAGCTGCACATGGTTAGGTCTGCATGGGTATATTAGGGTTGGAGGTAAGCAGTAGGTTATTGTTATATGCTCGTTGTTCCCTTCTGAATGCCTCTTATACTCTAGGTTTTTTGTGTGTTTTTGTGTGTGTGTTTGTTAATCCTCACCCAAGAATATTTTTCCATTGATTTTTGGTAGAGTAGAGGGAGGGAAGGAGAGAGAGAGAGAGAGAAACATCCATGTGAGAGAGACACATCAATTGGTTGCCTCCTGCACGACCCCAACCAGGGCTAGGGATCGCAGCTATTTTTATCATTAATACTGTAAAAAGAAAATAGATTTCTAGCCACCAGGTTTTGTTTTTAGTTTTTTACAATTTTTTATTGTAGTAAAATACACAATATATAAGATTTACCATCTTAATCATTCTGAAATGTACAGTTTAATAATATTAACATTTACATTGTTGTGTAGCCATCACCACCATCCATCTCAGAACTCTTCTCATTTTGCAAAACTGAAACTCTATACCCATTCAACAATAACTATCCATTCCCTTTCCACCCCGCCAGGCCCTAGCATTCACCACCCTACTTTCTGTCTCTGATTTTGAATACTCTAAGTATGTAGTATAAGTGAAATCATACAGCACTGTGTTATTGTGACTGGCTTAATTCACTTAGCATAACGCCCTCAGGTTTCATGCATGTTATAGCATGTGTCGGAATTTCCTTCCTTTTTAAGGCTGAATAATATTCTATTCTATGTATTTACCCCATTGTGGTTATCCCTTTAGTAATTGAAGGATATTTTATTTGTATCCATATTTTAGCTACTGTGAATAATATTGCTATGAGCATAGGTGTAACAAATATCTCTGAGACCCTGCTTTCAATTCTTTTGAGTATATACCCAGAAATCCAGAAATGGAATAGCTGGATTATATGATAATTCTATTTTTAATTTTATGAGAAACCGCCATACTAATTTTCACAAGGATGGTACTATTGTATTTATATTCCCACCAAGAGTACACAGAGGGTTCCAATTTTTCTACACATTTGCCAACACTTGTTATTTTCTGGGTTTTTTTTGTTTGTGTTTGACAGTAGTCATCCTAATGGGTTTGAAGTGCCATCTCATTGTAGTTTTGAGTTGTATTTCCTTAATGATTAGTGATGTTGAGCATCTTTTCATGTGCTATGGCCACTACATTTTAAAAGTCATGAAAATTAATATATATTGACCAAAAAGTCTAGACTTAAAACATGATTTTTATTTAGATCTAGATTAAAAGATGCATTTGTAATTCTAAAATTCAAAAAAAAAAATAAGTTACACTGAATCGTAGTATGTTCAGATTCAGTTATCTGATTGAAGACACAGTTTTTTTCTACATAAACAACTTAAAGGCATCAAAATGTCTGGTACTGAACTTTATACAATAGTGCTCCCCTTGTCTGTGGGGGATAAGTTCTAAGACTGCCAGTAGATGCCTGAAACTATATATACTATATAACCCACAGGAAATATATATATAGTATTTATAGGCAACCCTATATATATTATATTGCTTTTGTATACATACATACATATATATACCTTTCACTTAAAGGAAGCACTTATGGCTCCTCTTTGGCATATCCAAATTGCCAGCATTGCCATTCTTGAGCTTTGGGGCCATTATTAACTAAAATAAGGGTTACTTGAATACAAGTGCTGTAAGGTATTGTGACAGTTAATCTGATAACCAGGACAGTTACTAAGTGACTACCAGGCAGGTAGCATATACAGTTGACCTTTGCACTACAAGAGGATTAGGGGTGCTGACCTCCTACAGTCAAAAATCTTTGTATAACCACATTCGACCCTCTGAATATAGATTCCCAACCACAGAGTAGACCCTTGAACAATGGATTTGAACCATGCATTTGAACCATGGGCACACATAAGTGGACCTGTGCAGTTCAAACCAGTGTTGCTTAAGGGTCTGCTATACAGCGTAGACACTGGACAAATGATGATTCATGTCCTGGGGGTGGAACTGGATGCCATGAGATTTCATCATGGTACTCAGAACAGTGCACAATTTATTTTATTTTTTTATTTTATTTTTTTTATCCTCACCCGAGGACATTTTTCCATTTTTTGTTCAGGTAGGTGGGAGGGAGAGAGAGGAACAGAGAGAGAGAGAGAGAGAGAAACATCGATGTGAAAGGAGCACATCGAGTGGCTGCCACCCGCACAACCGACCAGGGCCGGGGACAAACTGCAACCGAGGTACGCGCCCTTAGCGGGAACCGAACCCGGGTCTCTCAGGACCGCAGGCCGACGCTCTAACCGCTGAGCCAAACCGGCCAGGGCGAACAGTGCACAATTTAAAACCAGTGAACTGTTAATTTCATTTAATACTTTTCAACAGTGGTTGACAGCAATAAAAGTGAGACCACAGAAAGTATAACCGTGGATAAGGGGGACTGAATGTAGTAAGAAAATCATAGAACAATCACTTTCTTGGATAATTTGATCACATTTCCTAACAAATGGCTTTGTGAATACTAGAGTAATAGTTTCTGTTAAGGAGTGGTATTTAATATGTATTGGGACTTAGAAAATCAGTGTCCACAAATACGGTAACTCTTATTGGGCCCATAGGGTCATTTTGGTTACCACAAGAATGCCAGCATAGCTTCTTTCATCTAGCTTCTTAGCATAGTGTTTCTGTCTTCAGATTTGACAGCCAGACAGTTTCTTAATGCAGTGTGGTTTTCGGGGGGGGGGGGGGGGGGGGGTCAGCGGGCCTTTCTGAGAATCTGACCAAAAGCTTTCTATGCCTCTTTCAGTAAAAGTGAACATGTATATACAATATCACATACAGTTTCAGGGATTTGTGGTCTCAAGGCTCCTGGTTACCAGCCAAGCAACCCATACAACTCTTATCTTTAGGATGTAACAAAAGTTCACACTATAAGTATTATACAATAGAAGTTCTCTCATGTTTATCATTTTATAAGCAATCTGGCAATTTTTCAGGTTTTTAAAATCACCATAGTATAGACAAATGTATAAGTTTGGACTTCTTATTTAACTGTCCAGAAATTTTTCATTATTAGGACCAGAAGGTGATTTTGTATAAACAGGAAGAATCTGTTGAATAATGTCATGAGAATCAATGATCATATGGTATTTCATACTTTGAGAATTTAATCTTTGCCAATTTTTCAATTAATTGAAAGTTTTGTCAGAAGGTACTTACCTCAGTAAAAGTAGAGATATTTGGGGTTACTGGTTTCATGTACAGATGTCCAGTCATTTGGCCATAAGATTTCACTCTTGCTTGGTAGGAAGGGGACAGGTAGGTAAGTAGCTTTATTACTGAGACTTTTTTTAGTTCTCTGACTTGATTAGTTAAGCTAAATCAATTACACATTGTAGCAAGGTAAACCTTTATACTAATTTTGAGATTTAAATGTGTCATGGTTTTTAACCCTATAAATTATCTCTCCTGAGCATCAGGTTTTAGCACCAAAATTTTTATTATAGCTATGATATATAAGGATATTTATATCTTTATAGAGCTATCTTAAAATATTAATCTCTTAACACCGTTGGCTCCTTTATCCTTCATCAATTTTATTTTATAAACTACTTCACTTTTTTAAAACTTGCCAAGATACATGGATCCTTTATGGTAACCCTAATCAGAGGAGCCAGATAGACGCTCTTCTTTTAGACCTTTTACATTTCATTCACAAACACACGTTTATTAATTCAAGCTTCACGTTTCAAAGATGCAAATACAACTTGTCACATAAATGTTGTTTTAGAGAAGGGAAAAGAAACTAACCTTTATTGAGGACTTATTATGTGCCAGCCACCAGGCTAGCTGCTTTTTATATTTGTAGTGTTTGAAAGTGTTTAAAGAACTTCCGCATGTTATTTAATTCTCTCTGCAACACTATGAGTTAGGATGTGTTAGGTTACCCCATTTTATAGATGAGGAAGCAGAGGTCTAGAAAGGTTAAAATAAGCTATGTGTGGCCACACACGTTTTTTTTCTTTATCAGTATCACTGATACAAATTCTTGATTTTATGATGTAGAGAGAATCCAGTGTGAATTATTGTCTCTCAACAAAACCTTGAAGAATGAAGATACTGAGAGTTGTTCTGCTGCAGTCTAACAACATTTGCAGAATCAACTTGGTAAAGATATCAAATATGAGAGTTTTGTTTTTTTTTTAAAAAAAACATTCAGGAAGATATGAGGGCTTTTTATTTTGTTTTCAGAAAATAAAAAGATTTGATTTTGAGTTCTGGTACTTAAAAAAGTAAGCTGATCATATATCAAACATAGTCAAGGAAAGTGGTCAGCATTATAAGGTCCCTAGGATCTTCTGTCTGGTAATTAAACACATAAGCCCCATTTTATTGTGACTGCAGAAATGGCATCTCAGTGTGATGAGCATGTGCTGAGTTACAGAAACCGTGCAAGCACCATTTTCACTTAACCTTGAATGATGTTGCTCCCCTGCTTGTAGTACATTCTCCATAGGATGAAATAACTGTGCTGCTTGTTTTTACTACACTGACTATACATTTTTAAAAGAGTTTTTGTTTGTTTCTTACTTTCCAAAGTGTTGAATTATTATGCCAACCTCAGCCAAACTCCTTGATTGAATTTCTGAGTTACCATTTTTAACTGCTTCATTGGTGACAGCCATTGCTTAATATAAAAAGTTCTCTGGGCTTTTTTTTTTTTTAAATCCTCACCCAAGGGCATTTTTCCATTTATCTTCAGATAGAGCGGGAGGGAGAGAGGAAGGAAGAGAGAGAGAGACATCGATGTGAGAGAGACACATTGGTTGCCAGCCACACGACTCCAACCGAGCCCGAGGACAAACTGCAACTGAGGTATGTGCCCTTAGTGGGAACTGAATCCGGGGCTCTCTGGTCCACGGGCCGACGCTCTAACCGCTGAACCAAACCAGCCAGGGCCTGTGGGCTCTTAATGATCTTTTTATATAATAGACCGTGCCCATATCTTGTAGCTTAGTTAATTTGATTAGTGTAAGATTCTGTTTTTAAAGACACAGTTTTGGCTCAGTGATTGAAGCATTGGCCCAAGGACCAAAGGGTTGGGAGTTTGATTCTGGTCAAGGGCACATACCTGGTTTACAGGTTCTATCCTGGACCTCATTGGAGGTTATGTGGGAGGCAACTAATAGTTGTCTCTCTCTCACATAGATGTTTCTGACCCTCTCTCTCTTTGTCTCTCTTTCCTTCTTTCCCTCCCACTCTTTCTAAAGATCAATGTAAAAATATCCTTGGGTGAGGATTAACCAGAAATGAATAAAAATAAAGACAGTTTTGTATATTCAATAGTTTATCATTTTAAAGTAAATTAAACATCCTCTTTGTAATTTAATGCAAAGTTTTAACTTAGACTACTTTTTCTTAGGTAATGCAAAAATGAATTTGAGCATAGGCTTTTATGTATTAATGAATTCAAGTTGAAAACACATTTTACTATGCTTCAAGATAATTTTTGTTGAATCTCAACAATTTCCTTGGACTTTCTGGTTTATGGGCCTACAGCATTGTTTTATCTGTTTTGTTTGTATCTTTGGGAATGAATGGGGTATAGGCATTAAACATTGCTGGTATCTGTAGAATCATACCAATTACACAGGTTTTAAAAGCCTTTTTCAAAATTGAACATAGAAATTCCCCCATGCTGTGAAAGTATAGATGATTTAAGTAGAATCAAGTTCTATGTAATAGGTATTATATAAAATAATGGTTGGACTTTATTCTAAACGTCTACCTGCCTATTGTTTCTTCAGCCTGTTAATGAAATTACAGATTGTTGCTTTGGACACCGTTCCCAAAATCTATATAATTCTGTACTAAGTACTGAAAATAGGTGGAGCTGATTGAGGCAAAGAAAATAATTTTTTAATATTTGCAACCTAGTATCAAGTAATCCTTATAATTCAAGTCTACAATTTTGCCTTAGGCCTTATACGCAATGATGAATTGTTTTGCTTTTTAATTAAAAAAATGTATTTACTTAGAAGCATTCAGAATATCAAGAAAATAACTGCAACTTTTTTTTCTTTTTCCTTTTTTTGCAATTATGGAGTGGTATTCAGTTAACAGAACAACTAGTTCATATAAACTGCATCAGAGACAACTGAAGATGAAAAAAATACCATCCCCATATATAACTAATTTGTATTGTGTACCAACAAGAACCTGCTTTAAATTTCCATGCCAATTTGCAACCCCTGTATTGTACTAGGCAAGGTTAGTGGCTACTGAAAATACCACCAGGACAGGGCTATCTAAAGACACATTCAGTAGAGTATTAACTATTCCAAAAAAGACACTGTACAGTTTAAAAACAAATCTTACACAGCCTTACATTTCAATTTTTTTTTCTTAAAAGTAGTGAATTGTATACAGTGGGTTAAATGCTTTATAGACAGAAAAAAAACTGCACTAGAACCAACTTCTTCAGTCATCTTCCTCCTCCTCCTCCTCCTCCTCTTCATCTTCCTCCTTTTCCCTGCCTTTTTCATCCTTGACGACTCCCTTCTTTGCCACATCAGGCTTCCTTTGGCTCTGTCTGCAGCAATATCTTTTCCGTAATTCAGCTGGGCCACTTTCGTTTTTATCAGGCTGCTCGTCACCTGCAGCAGTGTTGCTCCACATCTCTCCCAGCTTCTTTGCAACATCACCAGTGGGTAAGCCGGGCGCGCTCCTTTGTTTTTTGGGTGATACTCAGAACAAAGGCTGAAGGAGGCCTCAAGTGCTTTGGGATCCTTTCTTATTTCCCTTTTAGGAGGGATATAAGTTTTCATTTTTCTTTCATAATGGGCCTTGTCATATCTTCACATTTTCCTTTCCCTGTAGCAGACATGGTCTTCCACCTCTCTGCACACTACTTAGAAAACTGAGGAGTGGACTGAAGCATCTAGTTGTTTCTTCTTATGTTCCACCCGGCAAGTTTGCACAGAGAAAGCATATGATGACATCTTTCCCCTTGGCTTCTTAGGATCTCTTTTGCCCATGTTTAATTACTTTTCCTTAGGGAGCACAGTGTCAGTGCCCGTCCAGCTTGCACTTGACCCAGCACTGTCTCTGTGGAGCTCATGTACTGTAGTGGCTGCAGTGATGACTTGTTTAGACCAGTTAAGACATTCCACTTTTGACTGGCCTTGACTTTGGATTATGATGATAGAAAGCTTGGGTATTTTATCTTCATATGTAATATTTTAAGACTTAATTTTTTATTCTTCATATTGTAACTGTAATGTTTTATTTTCCTAAAACATTGAAATATTTGAAGTAGCGAGTATACATAACAATGTAGAAAAGTCAATAGTATTTTTGCTGGAACGGCAAAAGATAACTTATAATAATAAATTTTTGCAACAAAGGAATATAAGGGATATATAGTGATTTTTATTTATAAACAATTATAAGTCTTTAATTTCTGAATGTATAGTTTGTTTTAAAATATTTTCAGAGGAGCAAATATCTCCATTTGACTTGTATTTAGTTACTTAAACTCTGATTCAGGCACTCTGAGCTATATACTGGGTGGGGCAAAAGTAGGCTTACAGTTTTTCCTATGGAAAATTATACAATAATAACAATATAAGCATAAACCATTTTGCGTACTCACAACTATAAACCTACTTTGGTCCCAGTGTGTGTGTGTGTGTAAAGTAACAAGTTAAAAAGCGCTAATACATCATGGTTCAAATTCTAAGTGACTTTTGCAATACCTGGTTAGTTACATAATTTTTATAAATTCTTGGGTCTCTTATTATGAAAGCATGTAAGACATGAGGTGAGTGAATATGTGCCATGCAGAGGCATTGTTAATTTAATTCTGTGGTCTCTATAGAGATAAATGCATATGATTTTGTTTTTATTCTTACCCAAGGACATTTTTTCATTTTTTGTTCAGCTAGAGTGGGAGGGAGGAAGAGAGAGAGAGAGAGAGAGAGAGAGAGAGAGAGAGAGAGAGAAAGAGAAACATCCACGTGAAAGGGACACATCGAGTGGTTGCCACCCGCACAACCCAACCAGGGCCGGGGACAAACTGCAACTGAGGTACATGCCCTTAGCGGGAACCAAACCCGGTCTCTCTGGACTGCAGGCTGACGCTCTAACCGCTCAGCCAAACCAGCCAGGGCAATGCATATGATTTTTTAAATGCAGGAGAATTTATCTGATACCAAAATTGTAACATGATTTCATGCAAGTGAAGCTTTCAGTTTATTTGCTATATCCAAATAAGCATACTAGCTTTTTAAATTTTAGTTTTTAAATACTAGAATTTTTCTATTTCTTCAACAGTTAAAACTTTTTAAATAATTTTTTACTATAGAACTAAAATTGAATTTCCTATTTCATTAGTTTCTATTCTTGATTTAAGTAATGTAATTTGATAATAGTTTTTTTTTAAGTAAAAAAAAAACCTAAAGGGAAAGTGGTGTTCTACTAATGGATTGTAATTAATAAGCTTGAGTATGGGAGAAGTCATCGATAATGTTCGAGAACACATAAATTATGGCACAATAACGTCTTAAGAAGTTAATTTGCATTTATTGATTCTACTTTACAGAATGTGACAGTGATGACAACCTGGGTATAAAAAGTACTCCGACAGAAGAAGAATTCAGATCTACAGAAGGTAACTTAATGGAATAATTACTCTTTTCCCTACTTGAGTGTATCTTGTATGTTTTTTTTTCCCCCCTCACCCTTTCATCCCCCCATTCTCTCCTACCCCTGAGGTTGAAAATAGGCGTTTCTTCCTTCAAAGGATAATTTTCATTTCCTCATGTAAGAAGATTTAGGGATAATACTAATTTAAGAGTCTAGAACAAGAATCAGCCAATTATGGTCCTTGGACCAAATCCAGTCCACTGTCTATTTTGTAAATAGGTTTATTAGAACATACTCTTATTTAAGTGTTGACTGTACTGTGGCTATTATACAAGAGCAAGGTTGAGTAGTCCTGCCACAAAGAGTAAAGATTACCATCCCCCCTGCCCTAGCCTAATAATTATTTTCTGACCCTTTGCAGAAAAAATTTGCTAACCCCTGGGCTTTGAGAAGATTTTGATTTCCTAATTTTTACTTATTTTGAGTAGCATTAAATTAACAATATTAAAAGTTATACAGTAGAACTATGAAAGCAAGCACGTACATCTAAATATTAATGGGCTATTTCTGTAATTAAAAATTTTACCTCTTTTCAAAGGAAAATCTACTTATTTCCTTCCATAGGTTAAAGAGAACTTTTTGTATTATTTTACAACAAATAACTGACTTACTATACTACTATTCGGTTGTGTTATATGCCCATTTTTACTTTGGTTTTCCATTAAATACTGCTTTAAATAATCATGGGGAAAAAAGAAACAGCAGATCTTAGAAAATACTTAAAGCTTCACTGAAGAAGTTGAAACTATTACATTGGCATCTTGGACATAAAGGACAACAGTAGGAATGAGAATGTGGAGAATAGAAAGTAAGGAGGGAAACATGACTAAACAAGCACAAACAGAATGAATGGCCTAACTAATTTGTTTTCTGTGTATTTGCTTGATTTCTCATATAATGAAATTAGTATGAGTAAGCGCATACTAGAGCTTGTCACTATTAGGAGTTTGGGATTTGAGTCTGGCACTGGAATTGATTCATCCGTTTAATGAAGTAGAAAACTAATCTTTCTCTCTTATAGCCAGAATTCACTGGTTAAACAAAGTTTGCAGTACATCTACAGCCTAATTGGAAGCAAGCTTTCTGACCTGTTGTTATCTGCAACATGGTCTTTCAAGGTCTAGCTCAGTGCTTAGCAGCCACAAAATGATGAGTTAAACAAATGAAAAAACTTTTGAGTTGGTAGCAAAAACTGCCAGCTAAGTGGTTTATCAGGGCCACTAAAAGAAGAACACCATTGAGCATCTATGTAGTTCAGACTTTGCAATCTTTATTTACCACCCATGACTAATCCCATGGAAAATACCAGACAAAATTATAACTTAAAAAAAACTTTTTTTTCTTTATTGATTTTTTTAGAGAGAGAGGAAGTGAAAGGGAGAAAGAGATAGAAACATCGATGAGAGAGAACATCAACTGGCCGCCTCCTGCATGCCCCCCACTGGGGATTGGGCCCACAACCTGGGCATGTGTCCTGACTGGGAATCAAACTGGTGACCTCCTAGTACATGGGTCGACACTCAACCACTGAGCCACACCGGCCAGACCAAAATTATAACTTTTAAATAATCATACTTGGGGAGCCTTCACGGTTTTGTGGGCTCCTAACTAGCCCAGAAAAACCTGAGATGTATATAACTAAATATATGTCAGAATTTTTAGCATTTTATTATCTGTGCAATGCATTTTATGGTTTGGAGATTTTACATATTTGTGATTCTTTAGTTTGGACAAGGATTACAGTAAAAGGATGAAAGAGAAGGTACTTTAAACTTTTAAGTAGTTGTCATATGAGGTATGGACATATGCTTTAATTCGAAGAAAAATAAAAAAGGTGTTATTTGTGTGTTATTATTATATATAATAATTATTATGTACATTATATATTATAATAACATATAACATATATTGTTATACAAGGTGTTCCCAAAAATGTATATACTTCGAATAATTATAAATTCCAATATGTTAAATCTGAAAAGGAAGAAACATCATCAGTTGAGCTATCAGCTGTTAAGTGTGTATACATTATTCTGGGATACCCTGTATATAATTAAAGTGAGAGGCACACGATGTTCTATGTAAGTTAAAGAATCTGATCTCCTCTGCATTTTCCTTTAATACCCTTGCTTCTCCTTCTTTTTACCCAACAGGAACTAGCTCAATTGTCATCTCTTAGGTTGAATCCTATATAATTGTCGTTTTTGTTGGCAATTTTATATGGTCAGTACCTCTCCTTGGTTTTCCATCTTTAGAGATTGATTACTCCTGCCTCCTCTAGGCTCCCTCTGTATCATACCAAGTGGCTTTTTAAAAATTTCTGTCTGGCCCTAGCTGGTGTGGCTCAGTTGTTTAGGGTGGCATCCCATATACTGAAAGGCTGCAGGTTCAATTCCTGGTGAGGGCACATACCTAGGTTGCAGGTTCCATCTTCAGTGGGGACATGTACGGAAGGCAACCAGTCAATGTTCTCTCTCACATATCCTCATGGATTAAAAAAGTTTTTTCTCTCGGTGTCCCTCATCTCCTCCTCCTCAAGGGGTAGGATCATGTTTTATTTATCTTTATTTCAGCAGCATCTAACACAGTGTTTGCCACCAAATGCTTGGTTATTGAATGAATAAGCTTATAACAAACTTAGAACATGTTAGAGCTACCAGGACCCATCTCCCTGTAAGTAGATCAGGGAAATTAAGACTGAGGCCATTTGGTTGGGGAGAATATTAGATCATTTTGTTGACCCTGTACCATGAAAGGAAAGTGATGTTCTAGTCCACACCTGATAGCAAAACTCAAAAAAATTCAAATACCTTCTCAAGTCTCTCCTCCTTCCCTTCCCAGTACAACACTGTAAATGCCTGACAAATAGTGGTAGAGGTCAGGGTAAATTTGCATGTGGCTTTTTGCCTTGAAGAAAGGTAGATTCTCTTCCTCCTCATCTGCCCTATCCCCCACCTGCCCCCTGCCAAGATTTGTCATATTCTTTGTTGTTCTCTATAGACCACTATCAGTCTTTGGCTACCCATGCCAATCATAAAGATCCTATGTAACCTATTTTGTGTACCAGATAGGAAATAGAAGCCAAATAGTGTGGTGGTAAAGAGTACATATTTTGCATTTGGACTGCCTGGGTTAAAACTCAGCCCTTCCACTTGTAAGTTATGTAATATTGGGCAAGTCACTTAACTTCACTGTGTATCAGTTTCCTCATTTTAAAAATTGGAATACTGGTATACCTACTGTACTAGAATAACTTGGCACATAGTATTGGTTGCTCTGCTGTTATTGTGATTTTGATTGTTATATTATCATCATTACTCACTATTACCTGCATCTTATGTCTGCTCTGTAGATATGCCTACTTAATAGAAGTATTCTGACTCAAATCACTAAAAAAGAAAGAGGACAGCATTATGTGGATGGTTGCAGAGTAAAACTATCTTTCTATAAATGTCAGCAATTTGCCTTAGAGTTCCTTCAATTAATAGCAATTATCAACATAATTATTAATATTATAACATAAACTGCTAAACTCTACATTGTGGCCAATTTAAAGACCAAAGCAAGGATAAGGGAGTAGTGTGTTAATTTTTTTATTCAGTTAATGTTTATGAAAAATTGAATACTTTTACAGATTATCTTAATCTTGTGAAATCCAAAACATTCATTTTACATAAAAATTTAGTCCTCTAAACCAGCAATTTCCAATCTTTTTCATCTCTGGCACACATAAATTAATTGCTAAAATTCTGCAACACACTGAAAAATACAGTTTTTGCTGATTTGACAAAAAAAATAGGTATAATTTTTTATTCATTCACACCGGATGGCTATTGTGTTGGCTGTTGTCATTTTTTTTATTTGACAATCTAAGGGAAAAGAGGTCAGTGCCCCTGACTAAATAGTCAAGTATTGCATGTTTAAAAAAAAATTTTTTTTTTATCCTCATCCGAGGACATTTTTGCATTTATCTTCAGATAGAGTGGGAGGAAGAGAGAGAGAGAAACATCGATGTGAGAGACACATTGAGTGGTCACCACCCACATGACTCCAACCGGGGCCAGGGACAAACTGCAACCAAGGTACGTGCCCTTAGCAGGAACCGAACCCAGGACTTTCTGGTCTGCAGGCTGATGCTCTAACTGCTGAACCAAACTGGCCAGGGCAGTATTACATGTTTTAAATTTCTTGTAGCACAGTGGTTGAAAATCGCTGCTCTAAACATTAAGTAATTTGCCTTCAGATTCACAGTCTCAATATGATTGGGCCATGATTTACCTAGATAGATAGATAGATAGATAGATAGATAGATAGATAGATAGATAGATAGATAGAGTTAGATCTTCTAACTCCTTTTACTGGATTCTTTCTTATTGTCATAATTACCTCTCTTACAAAGAGAATGAAATGAAGCCAGAGACAAAGGAGAGTAAGAGAAACATAGACTTAGCCATAGAAAAGAAAAACAAAAACATACTTCCCAGTGTTCTTTATTTATTTCTGTAGCTTCGAGTTACTGTCTGTTCTTTTGTTTCAATCTGAAGGATTCTTTATAGCATTTCTTTTAGGGTGAGTCTACTAGTAACAAACTCCCCTAGCTTAATGTCTTAATTTAAGGATGTCTTAATTTCTCCTCCATTATTCAAGAATAGTGTTGCTGGATATAGACATTTTTCTTTCAATACTTGAAATATGTTATCTCACTGACTTCTGGTCTCCATAGTATTTGATGAGAAAAGAGCTATTAATCTTATTGAGGGTGTCTTACATGTCGGAAATTGCTTCTCTCTTGCTTTTATTTTTGGTTTTTGATGGTTTGACTATAATGTGTCTCAGTGTGGATCTCTTGAGTTCCTCCTGCTTGGAATTCGTGGAGCTTCTTGGATGTATAGATTTATATCTGTAATCAAATTGGGGACATTTTGGCCATTATTTTTTCAAATAGTCTTTCTGCCCCTTTCTTCT